TAAAGTGTGGAGTGAGGAGTCAAAAATGTAAAGTGTGGAGTGTAGAGTGTAAAGTGTACAGCGTAAAGTGTAGAGTGCGGAGTGTGGAGGGTAAAGTGTGGAGTGAGGAGTGCAAAGTGCAAAGTGTAGAGTGAGGAGTGTAAAGTGTAAATTGTGGAGTGAGGAGTGTGGAGTGTAAAGTGTGGAGTGTGGAGTGTGGAGTGGAAAGTGTAGTTTGTGGAGTGTGGAGTGTAAAGTGTGGAGTGTGGTGGAGTGTGGTGGAGTGTGGGGTGTAGAGTGTGGAGTGTGGTGGAGTGTGGGGTGTAGAGTGTGGAGTGTGTAGGAGTGTAAAGTGTGGAGTGCAAAGTTTAAAGTGTGGCGTCCAAAGTGTAAATTGTGGAGTGTAGAATGTAAAGTGTAGAGTGTGAAGGGGGAGTGGAAAGTGCAAAGTGTAAAGTGTAGAGTGTGGAGTGAGGAGTGTAAATTGTAAATTGTGGAGTGAGGAGTGTGGAGTGTAAAGTGTGGAGTGTAGAGTGTGGAGTGGAAAGTGTCGAGTGTGGAGTGTGGCGTGTAGAGTGTAAAGTGTGGAGTGAGGAGTGTGCAAAGTGTAGAGTGTGGTGGTGTGTAGAGTGTGCAGTGTGGAGTGTAGAGTGCGGAGTGTAGAGTGTAAAGTGCCACCCCTGCCACGCAAAACGACATGACAACCTGCTTGGAAACCTTCGAAAAGGAGAGATTTTGCAGCTTCCCCCATAGACACGGCGACGCCGCAGGAAAACCAGAGACTTGAGACGAGAGATGTGGGAGCATCAAAACGAGCCTTTCGTGCGAGACTTCCTCCAATTTTCATACTTTGTAGCTTCAAAACCGACGTTTTCCTACGAGTTTTCGTACGAGCCTTTAAATTTGCTACCTCAAAATCGATGTTTCGTGGGAGGCTTCCGTCAATTTTCAGCACATCTCACAAAATGCCACGTCTGCCACGGAATTTGCACCTTGTCTCCACTTGACGCGGCCCTGCCAATGCGATTCGTAAAAACACGCAACACGACGCGTCTAAAGTGCTGCGCCTGCCACGCAAAATGACGATGGACACGTCCAAAGTGCTGCGCCTGCCACGAAAACTGCAACGCATTTTCTGAAAACGTCGCAAAAGTATTGCGCATGCCACATAAAATGACTTTCGACACGTTACAAAACACGTCTGAATGTCACGAAGTGCCACGTCTGCCACGCGAAACGCACAAATTACCCCTTCTGGAGAACTTACCAGAGGCACGGCCATATAGCAATCGCGCGGACGGTTGCGAGTGGTTGCGGACGGTTGGGCAACGGGAACCCTTGCTACGCATTCGGGAAAGAAAGGGAAAGGAAGGGAACGGAAGGGACAGGAAGGGAAAGGAATGGAAAGGACGGGAAAGGAACGGAAAGAAAGGGAAAGGAAGGGAAAGAAAGGGAAAGAAAGGCAAAGGAAGGGAAAGGACGGAAAAGGAAGGGAAAGGAAGGGAAAGGACGGGAAAGGAAGGGAAGGAAGGGAAAGGAAAGAAGAGGTTGATTTGGAAATCAGCCGCCGTCGCATGACACCGTGCTCAGAAAACGAAGATTTTGCCCCAGAACGAAGATTCGGCGGGTCCGGCTTCAGAGGAAAAAAGGTGAGGACCAACCAACCTGACCATGGAAAAAAATTATGGAAAAACATTATTTTTAATGGGGCCCTCACTATTTCTATGGCCATGGAAACCATGGCTATGTTAAATAACCAGATGTATAGATGCGGCAGTGGCTTGGCAATTTTGTAGAATACGATACCCGTTTTTTCCCAAAGTATCTCCGATGCTTGGGTTCTCGTTTAGTTTCTCGTTTGCTGCGGGGGAGCGATACGTAGTGTTGGACGGAGATGGGAAGGAAGGAAAGAAGGAAGGAAGGAAGGAAGAGAGGAAGGAAGGAAGGGAGGAAGAGGAAGAGAAGGAAGGGAGGAAGGAAGGAAGGGAGGAAGGAAGGAAGGAAGGGAGGAAGGAAGGAAGGGAGGAAGGGGAAGAGAAGGAAGGAAGGGAGGAAGAAAGGGAGGGAGGAAGGAAGGGGAGGTGCAAATAGCTTGCGGACAGCTTCGCCGGGAGGGAGCGAGACAGCATGCTGGACGGAGGGGAAACCGTGGAAATAGCTTGGGGAGAGCTTCGCTGGGAGGGAGCGAGACAGCATGCTGGACTCAGAGGCTTTGACACAGAGAAGTCGTTTGCACAAAACAAAACCTTGCTTCTGTGTAAAACGTCCTCTGTGTGTAAAAGTCTCTGTAGAGCTGAAAAAATGAATTTTGCAGTGAATGCGCCCATAATATTCATCTTCCAAAAAGGTGCTGGCAAGAGGCGAAAGGGAAATAAACCAGTTATTACTCGAATTTGTTTGCTGTCGTTTTGCTTTTGGGTTCTCAGGCCCCCCCTTGTTTTTCTACTTCTCCCGTTCGATCCATTTTTTCCGCGGATGGATTTCTGGTGAGGTACAAATGGTCCAACTTCACCTACCAGGTAGGTGTCTTCATTTCCAGGCCGGAGGTTTGGGGAAGTGAGACGGGCATAGATTGCCAAAGATTAGATAAAGAGGTGCAGAATGCACTGGTTGGTGGCCGTTCAAAACGCTGTTCTTTTTCTTTCACGTTCAAATCGCATCAAATTACTATGTTGTTTTGAACCATTTTCCGGTCCGTGGCTGCCATGGCAACTCTCAAGTCTACATATATCAACCAAAATATGTCCATAAACATGATTATCTATATCATTGGTATGTGATGTTTCTGAAACACTTGAGGTTACTGGTGATTTTTGGCTTCCGAAATGGACGATGATGGGTATCCCACATCTCCTGTCCAAGGTTGAGAAGGATCCAAGCTCTTAAAAGGGAGACTATCGTCTAGCTAGCCAAGGTTGGTGATGGATGTGTGACAACAGCGCGACAAAGTTCAGTTTAATCATGGCTTCATTTGTTTTGTTGAAGCTTGTGATATGGGGATGAGGATTTGCCAGCTATTTCAGCAACCACAAACAATGGGGGTTCCCATCAATGACAAATTGTGGATGCCTTCAGGGCCCATAAGACCATAAGAATCCACAATTCGAAGTGAGAAAACTCTATGGCCGCACTGGGATGATTCCTCCAGTTGACCAGCTGGGCCCCTGTCCTTCCGTCATCAAACGTGGGCTGGAAAAGACCCCAGCAATAGTGACCGATGATTTCCCTGCCACGTTTGATGACGGAGGCTATATCGACCTGGTCGTTTTCTGAAAAGGTCCCAGATATGTTAGAAGTTCATGGTCTAAGTTGTCAGGCGTGAGGCCAATGTTTAGTGCTAGGGGAAACCAATGCAGAAGTCTAAGAGCAGGACATTCTTCATCTTGATCTGCCGGAGTCGTAAAGTCCTCTGGCCCGGGCGCCCTGGAAGTTCAGGGAATCGACTTCGCAGCCACGTCGTTTCCCCTGGCAGATTGCTGGCCAACTTATGGCCGATTTTTATGGCAAAAATGGATTGGATGATTCAACGAGTGGAATTCAAGGGCATTTTCAGATTTTTCAGACAAACCAAAATATAACTGGATTATATAAAATTGATTATATGATGTTATATGGTTAATCCCATCCCCCTATGCTATTATGGTTGGTGGTTTCAAACATGGCTTTTATTTTCCATAATATATGGGATAATCCTTCCCATTCACTAATATTTTTCAAGATGGTTAAAACCACCAAGCAGTATTAAATGAATGGAGAGGTTCGATGTTCCCCTACCGTTACCATTCTTCAACAACCAGCGGATTGGCAAAGTCGATCCTGAGGACAGGTGGCCTTTTGCAGATCTTCATGGGGGTCTTCTTCACCTTCGCGGCTGTGTCTTCTGGCTGGGACCGCAGCTTTAGAAAATTGGAGAGATGTAAATCATTTGTGTACTGTACATGATAACTGATAACTCATATATAGATAATTATATTTATATACTTATAAAGATCTTATTGTGCTTCATTTTGTTATATAACAACTCATGATACTTATTTTTACTTGATGATATTTGTATTGATTTGTTCAATATAGATGTATAGAATGGGGAGAGATAGACTCCAGGCAGGTCGTCGCCCCAGAGGGAATCATCAGCTTTGGTTGGTCACGTTGGTTCGTTAATGTGGTAAACCCAACATTTAGATATACAGCATACCCCAAATGCTTGGTAGATGCTTGGTAGATGGTGTATGGTGTATTATTGGGTTACCAGGTAGTTATCATTATTACCCATAGGATCCATGTATGGTATATATGCTAACATTGGGGGTATATTGATGGTAAATGTTACCATATATAGCATACATGGATCCTATGGGTTATTATGTGATTTATCCGTGATTTTCGGGTCCACAAATTCCCAAAAAAAAATCCGGAGATTTCTCTCGATGTCGATGTTTTTTTCGCCCCGCGGATCATCCCAGCACGGGGAGATGATTTTCGTCGACCAGGACATGGCGAGGAAGCGCTGAAAATCTCACTGTTCAGAAACAGAGCCATGAAGCCCATGACATGTCATGAACAGATGTTATCAGATAGCTATTGAATTCATAGTTGATATTGGATGTTGGATGATGTTGGGGTTACCATGTTCAAAAATGGCTGCTTACCGGCAATCAAACATGGTGTGCTGGAAAATCCACCATTGAGCTCGATCATTTTGAACACGCCCAGATTTTCTAGTTTAAATGCAGATTTATGGTGTACTTCCCGTACTTCCCCAGCTAGCCATGCTTGATTGCCGGAGGGGATTATTCATTTTCTTTGATTTGTCCTTTGCTTAATTAGAAAAGATATGGACACTAACCATTTTGAAGAGATGAATCATTGAACTGTATCGGCAATTTTCCATAACTTTGGTGAATTACCAGAGGGTAACCCATCATTTCTCTTGGTTACTCCCTAGAAGTGTCCCAAACAATATTCCACTACATCCCATGATTATCCCATGGTATCTCCCTTTTCTACGGGTATCCGAAAAGGCAACCCTTCGGCGGCTGGTGGCTGCTGGCACCTTCGCTCTTCGTTGGCTTTCTGGGTGGTGGTGTCTACGTGGGGGCCTTCTCCTTGATCGCCAAGGCGGGGGGAGATTCGGGAAAGTGATGAAAAGTGAGCATTCAACTCAAAAAAAAGACCAGTTTTGATGAGTTTTGTTGATATATCGCCGATTTCTGGCAAGTTTCATATGGATAGCTGCAGGGCTTTGTGCCTTGCTTCTGCAGGGTGTCTTGAACGGGCAGGGCCTTGGCTTCTGCAGGGCTTGTGGGTTGTAGCTTGATAGATCTCTGAATGACTTTTTATCGTCGGTGAAATCAGTTAGTTCATACTACTTCCCATTTTTACCAGAGGTCCCACACTGGTACATGTTGACCATTGTATATTACCCACTGAATGCCTATATACAAAATATATATTGCTCGTAGCATACCTATGTACTACCTCTTTACGACTCATCTACTACCAATATGATCAATGTCGTATCAACTCCCGAATTGACACTACAACCCAATACTGTATACCTAATACCCGTGGGCCACCACAGTCGCACCACAAAGAAGGAGGGGTAGGAAGTGGTTACAGTGGCTGTGTCATATACGTATAGAAACAAAATACATATATAATCATATAATCATATATAATTACGTATATATATATATACACATGGTAATATGTATATGTATATGTCTGTATGTGTATCTGTATACGTATATGTATATTACTCATATTTTTAGAGCAACAAACACATGAGTTTATATCCATAGCTATAGATAGATGGATGGATGGATAGATAGGTTGGATGGGTTCTGATTTGGATTTAGACATAGATTCAGATTAGCTTAGATAGGTAGAAAGTAATATATATATATAATCCCATCCACCTATATCATATGAAACACCACTAACATGGGACCCCAAGTCATGAATTGAATAGACCCAATAGTAGTAAATCAGTATTTCTAAGAGGGTAATTGTTATGGTATTGGGGGACGGGATTATAAATAAGACAAGATGGGACGGATGGACAAACATTAGATAAAGTGAAACAATCAAATATACATATGTATATATATGTATATATATATATAGATTGGATAGCTACCTAGATAGACAGATGGACAGGCGGACGGATGGATAGATAGGGATATATGTATATATGTATATCTACATATCTTTGTGGAAATTATGGCCCCCAATGATGGGACCCCAATTTCCTTACCACTTCCATATACTCCCATACTATTTCCATTTTCGAAACCTGGGTCCCAGGGGTTCCCTTATCATTAGGGGGTCAAAAAAATACATGGATACATGGATACATTCCGTTATAGATATATTTTTTCACTTATGGATGTAAACATTATAGATAAATTTCCGTTAGATACATTTCCGTTATAGATACATTTCCCTAAACAGATATATACCATTTAGTTCTATGCATTTCCCATTAAAACAAAACCTCCATGGCTAGTTCGGGATTTTCCCATTGCCAGCCACATTTGACATAGACAGACAGACAGATAGATGGATAGACAGAGTGACAGACAGACCAACATACATGTTACATATATGTACATATAATATATATAAATATACGTATGTATATACATACATACATAGATAGATAGATAGATAGATTAGATTGGATTAGATTGGGTAAGATATAGATATAGATAGATAGCCTCTTGACCCGTATTCCCATAGCACTCTCATACTCCTCCCATGTTCGAACCCAAAAAATCCCCGTGGAGCCAGGAGCAGAAAGCCGAGTTCGTGGAGTTGGCGCTCTGCTCGGCTTCCGTGGCGGACACCATCGGCATGATTTTTGCCAACGTCCTGGGGCTCATGGTACCGCGGCAGAAAAATCAAAAAGCCATGGGAAAATAGGGGGAACGATGGGGAAACTCTAGTGAAATCTATGGTGAAATCTAGAAATATCTTGGAGGATGACAATAGGAAACACTTGACATTTCGGATGGTCATTGCTGTTCCTATTTTTCAGGGTCTTATTGCTGAATTGATGGGATCTGAACACCTAAAATGTGTCCTAAAACATCCTAAAACCATCCATTCAAATCATGCAATCCTGTGGCCAGACTTGCTGGAAAGAACCACCAGACATGCGGGATTTCCTAGCTCTCCAGGTTTGATTTCTCGAGAGTACCTATGACATCTCGTTGGCTAAACCACATTTGTTGACTGTCAAAACCCCAATTTTAGCTGATGAAATCCAAAGTTCGGCTGATTAAATCTCATCTGATTAGATGCGAAATTAAAGTGCTCAAATCAGAGTGTGAGCTGTTTTTCCATCAATCTTCAGATAGGAATAGCCACAGCCCCATCTTCCAATCATCCCCTGAAATTGCAACGACCCCAACACTCACACTCTGACGACACTGAGGCACAGGGCTGTATCTTTGGCATGATGAAGGTCTGCCTGGAGATTTAGCCATACCAAAAATGGTGATTCAAAGGATTCTAAAGGATTCTAAAGGTACATAGGATCCATGTATGGTATACATGCTAACATTGGGGGTATATTGATGGTAAATATTACCATATATAGCATACATGGATCCTATGGGAAGGTACATAATGGACTGAAAAAGTATAATGTGGGTAAAACATGGTAAAACCATGTCATAGAAGGAAGTTTAGAAGTCAAACTTCCGACAATATGGACAGATGGAAAAGCAGAGGTGGGAAGAGTCAGAGACGAGAAGAGAAGAAGAGAGAAGATCAGAGAAGAGAAAGAGTCAGAAGAAAGAAGATGCAGTTGCGTGAAAAGGTAGAAAAGTCGCGGTTCAATGTGTTTTTCCAATGATTTGTGGCTCTGGAGAGTCGAAAAGGAGGCTCGCTAAGGCCGCGGGTGCGGAGCCAGCAGGCCAGATGAGAGATGAACAATTGCACGCCGTTGTGGCGCGAAGCACATTTCCAACTCAAAATGTACAAAACACTTCATGCTCGAAGCACTTTTGGAATTTGATGGCGAAAAAGTGCACGCCGTTGTGGCGCGAAGCACATTCCGAAGTCAAAATATACAAAGCACACCAACGTCGGACCACTTTTAGAAGTTGCGATGTCGAAAAGGTGCACGCAGTTGTGGCGCGAAGCACATTTCGAAGTCAAAACGTACAAAGCACCTCAGTCCGAGCAGTTTTAGAAGTTGAGATGTTGAAAAAGTGAACGCCATTGTGGCGCCCAGCGCGTTTCCAAGTCAAAACGTTAAAAGCACCACATGTTCGGACCACTTTTGGACGTTCAGATGTCGTTTTGCGTGGCAGGTGCGCGGGATTGTGCACCTTGTCAGAGCGACCCGTGAGGATTTTGCAGCAGTTTCAAGAGTGTTGGCAGGCGTGGGACGTTTCAAGAGAATCTGCAAAGATGCATTTTCCTGTGGCAGGCGCAGTACAAGAGACATGTTCATCAGAGATGTTAGGAGGTCCGGGCGCTGATTTCCTCAGAGGGGTTGCATTTGGAAGATGATTTTGTGTGTCAAGTGCAGCACTTCGTATGACCTGGCCTCACTTTTTCCTGGCAGGCGCAACACTCTAGAGACATGGACTGGAAACATCGCAAAACGCTTTGGCACGAGGCCGTCAGCTTTGCACTCAACTTTCCATTATTGAAGGAAGTCTCGCAGAATTGCTTCGTTTTCGATGTTGTCAACTTCACAAATTGAGGAAGTCTCGCAGACTTGCTTCGTTTTTGACACTATCAAGTTCACAAGTTGAAGAGGTCTCGCAGAATTGCTTCAGTTTTTATGTTGTCAATTTCGAACATTGAGGAGGTGTGGTAGAATAGCTTCGTTTTCATGCTTGTAGATAGACAGATACATACATAGATAGACATCTACAACTACCGTTACAACTACAAATGCGCATGCAAATATACAACGCTACATTGCACTACACTAATTAGACTACACTGCTCTAAGCACACTACACTACACTACACTACGCTACACTACACTACACTACTGTTACAGCTACAAATACACATGCAAATATACCACGCTACATTGCACTACGCTAATTAGACTCACTACACTACATTACACTACATTACACTACATTACACTACATTACACTACATTACACTACATTACACTACATTACACTACATTACACTACATTACACTACATTACACTACATTACACTACATTACACTACATTACATCATTACATCATTACACTACATTACATCACGCTACATTACGCTACATTACGCTGCATTACACTACGTAGATTACATTACATTACGCTACATTACACTACATTACACTACGTAGATTACATTACATTACGCTACATTACACTACATTACACTACATTATACTACAGTACCCTACAGTACACTACATTACATTACACCTACAACTACAACAACCACTACTACTACTAGTGCTGCTGCTGCTGCTGCAACAACAACAACAAATACTGCAACTACTGCTACTACAGCCACAACTACAATTATATACACCTACACTACATTACATTACACTACACTACACTCATTACACCACACCACAACTACAACTGCAACTGCAACTACACTACACTACACTACACTCATTACACCACACCACAACTACAACTGCAACTGCAACTGCACTACACTAATTTCACTACAACTACAACTCCACCACGCTACACTACAAGTACGACTACAACTGCACTACACCAGACTACATCCAGCAGTTGTGGTGAGGTGACCACTGCGACCATTGCAACCAGCCCAAAAAACACAACTCCAGCCACCTTTGGGTCCATCAGTGGATTCGCTCTGCCATCCATGATTCACAACAACCAACCCCTCCTATAGGTTTCCTATTTCTGAAACTTCCGCCGCCGCCTTGTGCGGCACCACGGGTAAAACCAGCACATTTTTGATGGTTTATACCACCTATAAAAATGGTGATTTGGGGGATTGTTTATGGCATTATTTGTTCGGCACCTGCGGGATGGTTACACAAACCCCCAGTGATGTTGGTTAGTTACAACCCCTAAAGCCAACAGTGATTGGAATTATATATCTATAATGTCAACCCTGGATTAATAAACCCAAACGGTTGTTTAACTGGGAAGGTACTATTTAAGTATCAGATGAAATGACTATTGGAGGAGTACCCCCTAATAAACCATGGTTGATTAATCCGAAGTTGACAGTACCAACTTAGTTAATATAAATCAGCTCCAATTCCCATGAAATGCCCGTTTTTTCATTTTTTTGTTGGTCAAAGCGACCCAAAACCTTGACATTTCGGCGAAGGTGCTGGATACCAAGCCAAACTTCACCTGTGGCTACGACATTTGGGACAACTACAATGGTGCCTCGGCCATGGTTTCACCCTACCGAGTGGGAACCGATTGCAGCAACATGATAAACGCTGAACAAAAAAAATCAACATGATTGAACATGATGGAACATGAAAATTTTATGAACAAACTATAGTATCTTGGGAGGAAAATGATGGACAGATTGAACTCTCCTAATTTTTGTTGCTACTTTGCAGATACCCCTCTTACCACTAAAGAATTGCACTTCCACAGATTGGCAATCTTACAGACCTTTGAAGGTGTTGTTTCGATGCTCGAAACATGCCAGAACCCCACAAAAACGTTTTTAAAGCGGCTGTTTGTTCTGCGACATTGCGCCACAACTCCGTTTTCACTGTTCCAACATCCAGCATCCCATCTGAATTATGTGGAGGTGAACATCAAAGTCTTTAGTTCCGAATCTTTCGCGAACAGCTGACATCGCAACCAAAAAGTAATCAGTAAATTGCTGTGAAAAACAAATAAGATAAGTACCTCCCAAGGTTTGTTTCGGCTGATCGACCCACTTCGGTGCACCTCCCGCTCTCTCCAAGGAACTGTCCATGTCCCGGTCTACGCCACGCATTGCTTCCCCGGTGTCGAAGGCTAAAGGCGCCTTTAGTTCCGAAGCGAAGCAACCGACCCAACAGAAGCGTGGGGAAGAAAAGAGGGTTTGGCCAAAAATGGGGGATACCACAAAATCATGCCATTTAATGGTGAAACTACTATAATGTGGTTCTCAACCATGAGCTTTGGAGCTTTGGGGGTACCCTTTGTCGAGCCAAACACATATGGGCAGTGCCCCATTTCAACCCCTGCGGGTTCTTGATTCACTTATAGTACTATAGTGTTATACTATGTTATACTGCTTGTTTGGGATGCCTATCACTATTTTTTGTTTGACAGCCCACCAAGCTGCGCATGTTGGGCAAGTTCCATGACCTCGTTGCGGTTCGCGGCGCTTCGCCGCAGCTGTTTCAGCTTGAGCCACTGGGTGGATCCGCGACCAGTGATTTTTCCACCTAAGCTAAGCACCAGGGAAAAGAAAGCAAACAGCAGCACTTTTGGAAAGGTTTGCGAACTTTTTCCCCTACTTGAACGGTTTTTCCATCCAAATTGGCGGACTCTTGCAGTCAATAGCCCCCCTGGCCTTGAAAAAAGTTTCGAGCCACCTCTACTCCTTCATCGCTTCGTGCATTCGTGCGGCGGCCATGAAGGATCGCCTGCGACCGTATCGAAACATCATCGTGGCTTGCTGTGAGGTAGTTGGGGTGGTTGACCTGGAACCTCCAACATTTTAAAGCAGACGCATAGACCATGTGGCTTCCATGTTTTGGAAAATGGATGAAACCCCAGCCCTGCAACCCGGTTTAACCACTTGAAACCCAATAGAATCTGGATGGTGGGTCCTTGCTCGCTATCTGTGAATTATGTGTCCTGTGGGGTCGATACCATGGGACATGACAATGTCATTCCATTTCCATAGATTTTTTATTGTTGATGATCTGACCTTGGACCTTTCCTTTATTATCCTTTCTTGGGGAAACTGAGGCTTTCTGGATCTTGGGTCTTTTGAATAACTTCCTCTATGTCGTGATGAACGCTGGCGCCGAAAACATCAACGAGGCCAGTTCTAGGGCGGCAGGAGGCAGCACGTTGGTCTGGCTCCACAGGTGGGGTAGCACAGGGCCATGGTGAAGATCAAAGACGATCCCTTGATTTGGGATGATTTGGGGATGTTTGGAGAATGTTATCCCAAATTTGGAATGGCTATATATAAATATCCCAGTTTTTTCCATGTTTGGGGATTATTTGGAATGGCTATTTTGAGATATTTATATATTGCCATTCCAACTACAGGTCGATTTTCTTGCTTTCCCGACGATCTTTGGAATCGCGATCGCCTGGCAGGCTGGAATCGCTTTGGTCTACTTGGTCAACGTTCTGCCGCGACCTGGATGAACGGTGGTTTTGAAAACACCCAGGGGGATGATCTTTTTGAGCATCCCTCTGGGTAGCTGGATTCAATGCTGTAGAAAAGCAACGCTCCCAAGTCTAGCAACGGATGGTAAATACCACCATCCCCAAGTTGGTTCTTCTTTAAATTTACTATATAGGTTTACCACATTTTCAATCAGATTGGGTTCAAAAACATTGACGAAAACTGCGGCATCTTGATATGGGTATGGTTTATCTGGATACCACATCGTAATCTACCATCTGGTTATTTAACATAGCCATGGAAAATCCACCCATTTTTAATAGGTAAACCATCTATAAATGGGTCATTTTCCATGGCTATGTTAAATAACCAGATGGTATCATAGTATTATCTCCCCATATCTCCCCATATTTTCCATGGCTGTTCCACCGCCATCGTCTCCTTTAAAGGGTGTCAGCCATGTCATCGGCTGAGAACGTTGCTGGTGAAGTTGACTGGTCCGTACTGGTTCCACTACGTCAGCTACAGGTGGAAAGGGGGAGTGGTTTGAGGTGCCCAAAGATCCACCAAAATGCAGGGGATGTAATGGTATGGAAGGTGAGAACTACATAGACTAATCATAGACTATAACAATTTAGGATAAGATCTATGACTAGAACCTATAGCTATAAAATGCTATAAATATCATAGATGACTCAATTTTGAATTCGAATGCCAGCTTCGATGACTCAGAGGTACATTGGGATGGGGGGTCCGTGTGCAGGACCATTTTCAGGCGCCAAGGTGTACCAGCAGCAAAGAACGAGGATATTCACCAACATAGAACCGATAGAACATAGCCTCTGGTAGGCCCTAATGCGGCAATTGAATATCCACTATTTTTTAATGGTGTTTGAATGGGTCCAATCAAAAATGGTGGATTTTTCATGATTTTTCCATTGCTATGGTTACCATTGGTTGATTGCGAAAGGGTACCCAACTTGTTGAGAGACCCCCATTTTTTGCTCAGCAGAAGTTTGGTCTAGGATTTCACCATCCCATGGAATCACCATGTTTTATCCCGTAAGGAAGTTCTAGAAGGAAGCACTGGCTCTATGGTTCTATTGCTTCTATGATTTATCATGATTTAAAAAAGGGTTCTATCATGTTCTATCCCCTAAAATTGTAGGTTTCATGAGTTTCATGCCCTTTTTTGTAGCTTGAAATCCCGGCGCAGGTGTCGAATCAACTTTAACTCTGCATTGATGGCCCTGTGTCTGGTGATCGTAGCTTGGGGTCAGAGCACTGGTGTGAAATTGCTGGGAGAGTCTTGGCGACCATAGCCGGGTTGCCGTTGCCGTTGCGGTGCAAAACTTGGGAGAAAAAAGCAACGATATAAAGTGGATATCATTTGGGACATATCACCAACATATCACCAACAATGTCAGATATGGATTCAGAATGATTGGGTCGAAGATTGGTGATCACCATATCAGATATGGATTCAGATATGGATCATTATGTCAGATATCAATTCAGAATGTACGTATGGCAATGAAGAGTTCGCTGGGTCGAAATCAGAGACCCACGCTTTGAGAAGTCCGAAGCATCGCAGACTCTTGGGACACCTATTCACATCTGGATTCCTAGCTCGTGCTCCGCATCAATGAGCTTTTGGGTAGTGATCATGAGATCAAGACATGGATCTTGTTTGCTTTTAACCATATATTAACCATATATTAACCATATTTCACTGTAAGATGACGTAGATTCGTCAGGTTTCTTGGCCCTTGAATGACCTGGGTTTTCTAGTTGGTCGTCCGATCGTTTTTTTGGAACGGTGAATTTCTCCCGACTGAACTCCCTCGATCTTGATGATCTCGATAAGCAAAATGGTTAGGAGTTCCACTGAAACCATTGGTTTTCCAGCCACATCCAATTTCTTTCAGCATCCATGCATCGTCTTGTTGCTTTTGAAAAAGCTCATGGCACTTTGACAAAGTACAGGCGGTTTGTCACTGGATTCTGACAACAATATAAATACGATAGATCTATAGGATATTCTAGGATCATCTAAACATATCCGTATGACGAGGATCATCATCCTTCAACAATGGCCACCTCATTTCCGGTTCAAAATAATCATAGCAGTTTCCAGATGTTTCCTGACAGAACGATTTACCATCTGGTTATTTAACATAGCCATGGAAAATCCACCCATTTTTAATAGGTAAACCATCTAGTTCTATGGGCCATCTATACCATGGCTATGTTAGTCATAACCATTTCGGGTCATATCCTTTGTGATTGATTCTTACCGAATCCGAACATCCGGCAGTTTCTAAAATTGGCGTCCCCAAATTCATGGCTTTCCCGAAAAAAATGACCAACAGCCATAACTTGGATTCTCGGATCCGCCACAGAAATTCACCTTTTTTCATGATGAAAAGAATTTTCATCAATACTAATCAATGATCATGAAATTTTCATCAATCATCCCAGCATATCCCAGCATCGCTATTTTGATCTATGCCATCAACATGACCACCGTTACTCCTGGGAATTCCGATTACGGATCTGCCTCCAGGTGGCCATTTGTTCCTTGGCCTCGGGGATCGGTGAGGCGTCGCTGTTAGCCATGGCCAGCTTCTACGAAGCCAAGGCGCGGTGGATTTTTTGAAAAAGAGGACATCTATTTGTAGCTGCAGCCATCAAGAAGATAGACTAAAGGTCATCTTTAGTCAATTCCTAGCATTTTTGGTTTGGATTCTATTTTTTCTAGTTTTTGGGAGTGACTATATTAATATTAATGTACGGGGAAAATTGCAGTACATATTCATGGAATTTAGCGAAAACAGCGACATATCATGATGGAACATTGTAAGAATATTTGGCTAGCACATAATTGAATTCAACCAACAAACATGGACAACACTGTGGTAAAACCCCCAAAAAACAACCTGACCATCACCAACGACTTACCAGAAAACAGGTGGGGAAAACATATTCCCAAGTGAACTTGATTATTGGGTTTAGCTAATATTGTGCTGTTAATATGGGCAATTGTAAGAGGTCAACTACTAAACTTCGCCAAGAAAATTGGGATTGGTTGGTTATGATCTACACATAATTAGATAACAACTGTTAGTCACTAGTATAAAGTCCCTATTATATATCATCATTGTTTTCATATTATTACTATAATAGTGATAAACTATTGTTAATGATAATCTATGCAAATGTACAATAGTGAATGGACAGCAACTAACTAATACAATACGATTTCATCACCAGCAGTGTGGAGCAATGCCCTACCATCAGGATGTGGCCAGCCATGATCCATGAAAAACGTTGCATTGACGTCCCCGAAACGGGGAAGATTGGGAAAATGCGTTTGAGCAATATATAATATATATATAACATATATATATAATATATATAATTATATTTATAATTATATATATAATTAATATAATATATATATATTATTATATATATATGATATAATACATAATATAATATATAATTTAATATATTAAATATAATATATAACATATATAATATAATATAATATATATAATATATAATATATAATATATAATATACACATAATTTGACAAATCAACCAAATTGTCATGTCAGTGACCTGCAATCGGTGGGGCTAGTCATGCTTGAAACCTTCTTTCGGAGATGCTCTCCCCGTTTCGCCAGATTCTGCTTGCAAAACACTTGGTGAAGTCCCCCATTTTGGTTGGACCAAAAGCAACTGATGGATCCAATCAAGACCCCATCAAGACCCCTAGATATCATTAGCTTGATTCAGCTTGATAATATCATTTTTCATATCTATAAACTGCCATAGCCCAGATTTACTGATTCAACATTGTTCAAACATGTTCAAACACCAGATTCTTTCGTTGGAAGCAGAATTTTCTCCATTCTAGTAGCACAAACCATTCCTACTCCACTCTCCCGTCATCACATTGACAATATCTGTGCAATTGGATATATATATATATAATTGGATATTAACCTTTACAGATCTTCAGTAAGATCTCAAGTTCAATATTCTATTTGATCGAATCGAATTGCATGTAAACCTTCACATATTTTCACATTTCACTAGTATGATCACCACCAAAAACCCAATCCCCAACATTAAATACCACCACAAAAATCCTGTTTTGGCATTGGATCTATTCATTTAATTTGCTGACATTCTTCAATCTATCTCATATGATTTCGGAAAGGGGATTGTCCAGATAGCCCTTCCATATTGTATATTGATTAATTCCAGAATATATTTTATTGCAACTTAGGGACTTCAATCTTCCAACATATTCCCCGTTTTATGGGGATCAATTCCCCATATTATCAAGTTAGGGGAGAGTCTTGTTTAATCAAATTATCCCCCTTATGTCCGATAAATTATGAGATTTCACTATGGATATAGGGGGAGAACTTGATTTTTGTTCACCAGCTTGGTCAAGATTCAGCTGGATATCCCCAGTTATTATATCACTGGATATTACCACTGCAACTGCGGGAATTTTCTCAAATCAGCTGTGGTTATGCTGTGGTTACCCTCTGGTAAACATTTACATAACTATGGAAAATCACCATTTTATAGCTGGGTAAATCCACGAAATAAATCACCATTTTCAATAGCAAACTGTTAGTTTACCAGAGGCTATATCATATTAAATCCCATTAAACCACCATTAAATCCCATTAAATCCCAATAAAATCACCATAAACTCCCATTGAATCCCAATAAAATCACCATTAAATCCCAGAAAATTCCATAAAAGCACCATAAACTCCCATTAAATCCCATAAAATCACCATTAAATCCCATTAAATCCCATAAAATCACCAGAAAATCCCATAAAATCCCATAAAATCACCATAAACTCCCATTAAATCCCATAAAATCACCATAAACTCCCATTAAATCCCATAAAATCACTATTTAATCCCATAAAATCACTGTTAAATCCCATTATTATATGGTACCCACTGGGGATCTTCCGCTTCCGCTGGTCCACCAGCCCTGCCTGGCGGCCTGGTCCTCGGGCACCGGCTTCGCCGGCATCGCGGGGTACGCCTGGGCGCTGGCCTTTGGCGCGGCGGACACGTGCTTCCAGGCCATCACCGTGGCGAAAGATCTGAGGGTTTTTTTTCCTATGAAAATGGTGATTTATAGCGGATTTATGGTGATTTATAGTGGATTTACTCATTAAACATCGTGATTTTCCATAGTTTTTTGTAAACATTTACCAGAGGGTATATTGAACTATGGCCATTTAACATGGATATCATGGTAATCATCCTTTTTCAGATTTTCAGAGAAACTCACTTCGTTTTATGGGTTTTATTTTTTTAACATGTTTTTCTAAACCATAGTTAATGATCCCTTCCCCCCCAAATGTCAGAGGATTTCTGAAATCACTGATGCATCAGCTGATTTGATCATTCCCCCGAAGTCTAACAATGGTGATTTAAACAGTGAACATTCACTGAGTCAAGCATCCGTCTCAACATGGAAAGTTCAGGTTTTTCAGTGTTTCACCTCCACTTGAACTTTCATGTTTACATCTGGCTATATGTGGGTTTAAAGATGTTTTTTTTTTTAAATCATGGTTTCAGCGATTTAAACCATCTTCAGTCCAGATTCATCTGCTATTTTTTTTCACCAGATGATCTATCTACATCTAGCTAATCAATTTCCATGCTAATCAAATGCTAATCATTTTCCATTTACACCAGATGATTTTTCATCAGCTACTAATAAATCGTTCCATGCTGATGAATTTCGGATGAGGTGCAGCTCATGGTTGCGCTGTGGATTCCCATTGCCTGGCACCGCGACCGAAAACATCACAGACATGCTGGCACCAGGAACCCCTATAGATATCTATAGATAAATAAATATATATATATACACACTATATATATATAGATTTATATAGAGGGACTGTGGGGATTTAGGTTTTCTTGGTACTGTAGCTATGCACATGTTTTGAGGGTAGGGTTGAGAAAGGTGCCCAGTGGGCTATGACTTTCCTGCAACTCCATTGGTTTCAAGCAGGTTGTTGCCTATATATATATGTGTGTGTGTGTGTCTTGCTTTGCTTCTTCAAATCACAAATTCAAATTTTCCCCGTCCAAGAATCACAATGGATTTTGCACTTCCGAGACCCCTTTCCACTGTAATTTCTGGGCCCTACAAGCTATCCATGGCTATAGATGGGCAAAGTAGGCAAAGTACTTTTGTTTGTTTAAGCCTAGGCCCAATTTTCTTGAAAAGGTCAGCGGCTAGCTAATTCCCATTCTTGATTCACCCCTCATGTTTTTTCCTTGGTGAAATTCCCCAATTTTTGCTGGATTCCTTGCCAGAAGTTGGCACTTCGCACTTCGAATCTACCGAGGTCCCTGACCTTCTTCTACATCCTGGGACCGCCCTGGATCGACAAGGCTTTGGTGCCGAAAATTTATGCCATGAATTTTTTGGGAATTCACCCATGAAAGTCATGAAAGTTTGCAAATTCACCAGTCAAACTCAGCAAACAACACAGAGTTTGGTGCAGGGATTTCACCTTGGAATGCACCAAATTCACCGCTGATTTCAAGATGAACATCTCGAATTGATGCAGCAAAATGTCAGGATTTTTACCAACAGTTGCGCGCAATTAGAAGAGAACATGGGGAATCAAAACAGATTCGACTTTAATTTTTTAAATGAGAGAGTAGCAAGTAACAATGCAATGCATAGATTTTAAGAGAATGCACATGTATTTTGATGTATTTTGTTGGTGAAACGACGGCGCCCCACGTCTTGGTGTCCACAGTTTGCAGGAACGTGGGGCAGATAAGATTGTGGCCTGTGACGACGGCGAGGTGGGATGAGTCAAGGGATGTAAGTGATATGATGATATGATATGATATATTCATATCACATGAATTCACATGATATCCCTTGAGATCTTCACATTAATATTAATGATCATTATATCAATGATCATTATATTAGTGATCATTATATGACTTGAGAACTTCAAACTAGATCATCTCAATATTGGTCATCCACTCATCCTGACATTGACGGATGATGATCTCTACTGAATTGACGAATCCTTTGACGAATAGTTATCGTGACTGCTTGTTGATGTTTGGATAGACTATTGGACACAAATGAGAATATCACTGAAACAAGTGTTTCATTGTTCGTTGAAGATGCTTTGCATTTTTCTTCCCTTGCCAGTTGTTTTGCCAAGGTTGCTTGATGATCTATAGTGAACTAACATAACTATGGAAAATCACTGTTTTTAATGGGTAAATCCACAATTTCTATGGCCATTTTCAATAGCAAACTGTTAGTTTACCAGAGGGTAGCCACCCCAGCCCAAATCTTGACGTTTCGTCCCAGAAATAGGTTCGACATGATCAACCCACAGCCGCCCAGCCTTCCGATTAAATGATTGCACCATTTAGATATTTTATATCCAGAAAAAACACTGTTTGATTCAATTTAAGTTTCATCTCCATTTCATCCAGTGTTTTTTCTCCATTTCATCTCAATCAATCTCCAGAAAAAAAACACTGTTCATCTCCATTTTATCAAAGACACTGGTTGCCGCAGTTCAGTGAACTGCTTGTCATGATGAAGCCCTCAACCGGTTCAACCTTGCCATCGTGAATCATTAACAATAAACTTCTACCTAATCTATCAGAATATATACTGTATATATACTGTATATATACTGTATATATATATATATTACATAATACCGCAGAGTACATTATATCCAAAGATTATGTTCAAAAGACTCAAAAGTCATAGTTTTTAGCCCAAAAAAGATTCTGACCTTTTGTGACTTTCTCTCGGGGTTTCTATGCAGTAAATATATGATCGACCTAACTTCCCGTGGTTTCACACTGGCATCGGCCATTGGGGTTGCTCTGCCCTGGCAGATCTCCAGCTCCGAATCTGTCGCCTCGGACATGGGCTCCGACACCACGGAACACAGCGCTTCGGAGCTGGTCACGGCGCAGCTCAGCAGCAAGGACCGGGATGCTGAGCTATGGCCGCCATGGCCCTGTTGATGGTGAAAACTTAGGGATAATGATGATTATATGATTATGCTAGCCAGATGGGGATTTATTTTCAGCATCCGGAAAGCTACCAGCTAGTATAATGAGATGGGATAGAGGCATTTTTCATGGCTCATGCGGGATTTATATGCATTGTAGATGGTTATAGAGTTACAAACATCTATAATCGGTGGGATCCCAAAGATTTATATGGTTTACAGATGTTTATAGATATTTAAGGATATTTCTATCTATAGATTTATAGTAACCATCCTTTTGGGACTACCATTATTATTAGGATTAATATGGATTTATTTTGAGATAAACATTTTTATACATATATACATTTATACATATATACATATACATATAATATGATTATTGGAGATTTAACCAAAATATGATCATATGGGGACTTATATCCCCTTTGCTGCAGCCCATTTCTAGCCGAATCATAGTCACAAGGGGAGGAGAATTGTATCATTTCATGTTTTTAAACGGCATTTATTGTATTTAAATAATTCACACCCCTTGTACCCGGGTTGTTGGGAGCAAGTCTGTTTTGACAACATTTGCTTTATGGCTGTGAAATTGTGATTTAAGCCACAAAATATGAGGATATGATGGGGATGTGACAGGGACATGATGGGATCCTATGTGATATCTGGGTGTATCTGAAAACTGGGGGCATACCCATAGAATTGCCATTTAGTAGGAAACATGATGATAAACTCATAGGATTTGGGGGTTATTTTGTAACGACGGGGATGTGACTGAGGAATAGGTGATTCATTCACCCAAACATGGATTTGGCCATCAATCATGGGGAGTTGACCTCTTCTTTACAAAACACATATGGAAACAGAACTTGACAGATTGGTGCTGCCTGGTGTATTTGTATTTTTTTTTTTACACTGGCCAAACTCAGGGTGATTGCTGGAAAACATTGGTTAGTTTGAGGTGTTATCCAACATGATACAAACTGAAAACAAGATCCCATATCGTAGTAGTAGTAGTAGTAGAAGAAGTAGTAGAAGAAGTAGTAGAAGAAGTAGTAGTAGTAGTAGCAGTAGCAGTAGCAGTAGCAGTAGCAGCAGCAGCAGTAGTAGTGGTGGCTTGTCAGAACGCATCCTGCACAAACCACTCAATCACTAAGCCGTACTGGGCCCTACCAACGTTGAAGCAGCAGGAGCGCTTTTGCTTCATCCTGGGTCTTTGGCCTTACATGGTCCCATTGTTCTTGGTCTATACCGCAGAATACACGCAGCTCGGACAGGTAGAAGCAACCATTTTTTGGGGGCAGGGGAGAGTTCTGGGTGGTGGTTTCAAACATTTTTTTATTTTCCATAATATAATATTTATATATGGGATAATCCTTCCCATTGACTAATATTTTTCAAGATGGTTAAAACCACCAACCAGTTGGGGTCTGGCAGGGGAGAGTTGGTTTGATGTTGTTTGCCAGTGTGAAATTGACCCGTGGGAGATGGCCATGCTCCTAGGATTCAAGCGGGCTTTTGGGCTGCCATGGGTTTTCCAGTGACCAACCGCGCTTCACGACATGCCTGGTATAAGTGCCTCGGCGCCTGAGAATGTCTGAAAGGAGAGCGTATTCAACCAACACGGCGATATTTTGTGGGTTGATGGGATATAGTACCAGCTTACATTCCAAGAAAACAATGCAGATTGGAGGCGTGCGGCATTCCCCACTTTTGGATACTTTTTGGGGAAACTTATTTGAGGAACTGATGATCTCAAGAAGGATCATTTGTCACCTGATATCCATCATCTCGACAACGTGACATCGGTTTCCCTGATGAGGTGGGCGAACTTCACTTATCAAATTGGTGTGTTCATCTCAAGGCGGTCTGAGATTTCGTGAGCGAAAAACACGTTCCGCGCATTCTGATGTCAGTGCAAAACATGGCAGGTTTTAATGAGTTTTAGTCTTGTTTTAGCGTTCAGAGTTCAAATTTCAGGATTCAGCGGGCCAGAGGATATGCTACAATTCCTAGAGTTCGAGTAAACAAAGACAAAACATGTATGCTGTGCGTAGTAGATCAGGGTGGATGGTGATGGCCTGGTGTTTTTTCAAAGCTCGGCTTTTTTCCTTGGGATTCTTGAACGATCCATGGATCCCGGCAGGACCTCTTTTGTCCTCATTTGCAAGAATCGGAGCCTTGGACCTTGGAAAAGCGATCCCGTAGCTAGTAAGGGGCTACATGGGACCGGTTGGGGACGGGTAGTGGTCACTGGCACGGATTCTCCAAGAGTTCTGCATTTTGTGTGGGATATTTCTGTCCGGTCGCCGTCCTTTTAAGCTATGCTGAGCTATGCTGAGCTATGCATGTTACACCTCAGGAAGCTTCTGTGGTTGGGAGGAGTTCTGCAACTTCTCATGGTGGGTTTCTTTGCTGCGGCTGCAACGACGCTTGGTCTCAAGTGTCTCAGGTCACACAGGAATCGTTGAACCTCCAAGATTTCAAGTTGAGCTCTGCTGTGGGTTTCAAAACTTCCTATGGCCAGTCTGACTACGGTGATACCGGTGATACCCGAAATGTGTCACTGGTGGGGTTATAACCCCAGGCAAGGCAGTAATGCAACCCCCACAGACACTGTCATTCCCTGAAGGTGATTTGAACATACAGGTACCTTTGGAGGATAGCTCAAGTCCCTCCAACAGCCCAGTTTTGAATGGAATCCTTGAGTTTACCATTTTAAAGTGGAAATTTCTTGAACATTTTCTTAGAAGTCCTGGCGGAGGAAGCCTTTCGGCAGCTGGTGGCTGCTGGCCCCTGCCCTCTTCGTGGGCTTTCTGGGTGGCGGTGTTTACGTGGGAGCCTACTCCTTGATCGCCCAGGACGGATTTCATCGATAGAAATGGGGAGATCATCTGGGATGATCGGTCTATGGATCACAAATGCTAGAGGTGAACATTTGGTGAACATTCACTTGAAAAAACACATGTAAGTCATTCAGATGAGGTATGTCGCGAACAGAATCTCTTGAATGTATTTATATATCATGTCATATCGTCATATCTATTCAGATCTATGGTATTGAAGCACTAGTAGGGATCCCAGGATGTCCCACAGCTGGTGTCATCCTGCCAATTCTTGGCTTCGGTGAATGGTACGTCGAGGTGCTGACCAGCGAAGCGCTTGGACAGGTTGACAGGTTAAAGGGTGTCCAAAAATATGATTTGAAAGGTAAAGCACAAAGTGGTTCATTATGTTTTATGATGTTTTATGATATATGTACTTAATTCGTTTCGACACTTTTAAAAAAGACGGCCAGGAATCACTAATTTGTGATATCCTCAAGTGTGAAACATGCCGGCAATATATTTCTCAGGAGCAAGATCCTGCATATGTGGAGCTGGCATTGTCGAGTGCCTCTGTTGCTGACACCTGGCAGTGAAAGAAATGTGACAATGATAGGCCCGGAGAGATCTTGTGTCGTCGTAGATTCACAGAGGGGATTTCCAGTGCTCCCTTTTTGCTTAACCAATACGTACCAAATGACGGTAAAGCTGTGACATGGCACTGAGATCGTCAGGATACCTTCGGCATCATTGTGGCTGATATTCTGGGATTGATCGTGCAAGGCTGTGTCTTTGGACATATGGAGGCCCCTCTGGCTGAATTCTGCAGGTGTCTATAGATCTGCAGGCGGTCAGCCTTAAGTTTATAAATGGAAACCACCTGAAAAGTAGGATAAACATCACTTGTCAGTGGCAAATGGCCGTTACTATTATAATGTTGGCTACTGATTAGTGTGGCCCTCCCCCTCAAGAATTTGCGGGTACTCAATAAATCACCATTTTTGACGACCCCTCCTCAACAATTTTTAGGATAGTCAACTTAAGTAAGGATTTCAATTGACATCAATCTACTTTCAATTGATTTTCCTTTTAAACCTCAAACAAATCTATTGATAAGAAAGGATGTCAATTGAAATCAATTTACTTTCGATTCATTTGAATCAAGTTTCCCTTGATTTTCCTTTTAAGACTCAAACATATCAATTGATAAGAACGGATTTTCCTTCAAAAAGGGAAACACAAGGGTTGGAGCCTCTTTTTTTGTGTTGTTGTTGTTGTTGCTGCTGCTCCTGCTGCTGCTGCTGCTTGGGCTGGGAGGGACAGGTGTGCACATAAAAAAAGGGTAAATTATATAATCATGGTTTTTCTTGGACCATTTTTTTCCCCCTGACAAAAATGGTTCTGAGAAAAAACTTTCCACAATAGAGCCCCACCATCCACAGGATACCCAATTATTTTGGAACACCATTCCACAATAGAGGTCCATCACACTAATCGTTATACTACATTATATGATATATCACATTAATTATAATCCACATTAATATATACCATTATATTATATTATATTGGATATACTACATTATATGATATATATATATATATTATACCAAGATCACCACGTGGAGATTATCACCACGCCACTTTTCCGTGTCCTCGTTCGAACGAGGACTTTTTCACCTTTGGTGTTTTCCCATATTTTCTACCTGAAAAAACATAAACATTACACTTGGAAACGCCCTGTTTGAATAGAGACATTTACTGTATATGCGGGGTCCAATCTTGCATTCTCGGGTTAGATTGCAAGAGGGTACCATATAGGACAGTTCAAACTTATAAGATTCGAACCTTCCCACTAATGTGACCCGCAGGTGCTGGATACCTCTCCTGATTTCAAGTGTGGCTACGACGAGATTTGGAGTCCCTGGGCGTTATGTGGTTCTGGATTACCATTTTGCTGCTAAATCGCGGCCTTGAACCTTCAAAAGTTACTGTGGGGATAGTTTGGGTTTAACCATTTGGACCATTTTTTGGCAATGGTGGGCTTTCCATATATATATAGTGGTATTAATTTTTCTGATTCCAAGAGAACTAACCATGTCCGTTTCTGGTTCCATATCCATTCCATATTCCATATCCATTCCATGTCATCACCCATAGAATTGGATTATGGGAAAATTTACAGGAAAGCCCTATATTTGATGGTAAAAACCATGGTTTCCTGTAGATTTTCCCAACAAAACCAATCCAGTGAATCACGAGAACCGCTTGCGCGTTCCTTGGGATTCCACAGCTGAGGTCACTTGAACCGCACCTTGGCTTCAATGGCCTCCAGAATGCCTCCAGAATTGGTTCAAGATGGCATACACCGAACAAAAACACCATACATCCAGAGAATCGGCTCTCTCAAAGTTGTCTCACTTGCTGACTTGTCCGATAGTGAAAAAACATGTTCAATCTGTATAGCAGCATCCAGCATCACATAGCCACTGCAGAACTTATTTCAGGCACTGTTGCTACACAGCACTATGCAGCCCATTGTTTCCCGGGAGTTCGTGGATGATGTTTCCATGGGAGGTAACCTGCAGCGGGGGCGCTGCCGAAATCGTCCCTCACACCTTGGGGCAACGGCCAAGAAAAGGTGTGCTGTACCAGGTTGTACGATGTTGTAACCTTATACTACCACCCAAAAGCTAGAAAGTATACGTACAATTTGCCACATTTTGCCACTATTTTATTGTACTGTTCTATCTTTTTGATGGTTGCTATCGTGGGTAAATTATGGTAAATGGATGACGTTACCAATATTAATGAACACCAGGACGCAAGAGCTGAGAAGATGCGAAAGCAATGGAGTGTGGCCGGCATCAGTTGAGTCAGTTGAAATCAGCAAGGTTGTCCAAAAGTGGGGTATACAAATATCTATAAAATAATAGAATAATATATACACAGTCTGAACATGTCGATGCTACTAGTAGAGTTTAATAGAGAAAGGATGATGCAATTTGGGGTTTCTACTTTCCGGGCAAAGGAATTCGGAGTTCTTCAACCAGCTTTCCTGATGGCTTTGGGCCGCCATCACGCCACTGATGGAAGACCAACAAAAACTCCAGGAGATATGTGAGATGGGTCAGAGTTCAAAGTGGAAACGAATACCCAATGAAAGCAAGGATTTTCAATGCCTGAGCTTGCAGTTTGGAGATTCTAATCCTTAAATTTGTAGGTGATGCTGATCCGGGATAAAGCTTGGATGATACATTCGCTACCCCCATTGAACCCCGTGGCCGGCGCACATCGCTGCCAGATCGTGCCCTGAATCACATGGGAGACCGTGGTGTGACGTGTGGCACCCGTTTGGTCAGGGGCCCCAGGGATTCAGCCTTGATTGTGTTGCAAGAGACTCAAGCATTCACCATTTCCGTTTTTCCGAAGGACCAAGATCCATGTGACATCAAACAAGTATATGTACATTATACTTACAAGTATATTATTTATGTTCTATTATATATATATGATATATATATATATGTATATATGATATATATATATGTATGTATATGATATATATATATATATATGTATGTATATGATATATATATGTATATATGATATATATGATATATATATATGATATATATATGATATATATATGATATATATATATATGATATATATATGATATATATATATATGATATATATATGATATATATATGATATATATATGATATACATATATATATATGATATACATATATATATATGATATATATATATGATATATAAATAATACTATATGTACAGACTACAAGATCACCTGCAGTTGCCCGTGGCATTTGTCACTGGTTAGCCTCGCCCTGTCCGCTAGGCAGCAAAGTATTGGTCCATGAAGATGCGGCTGTTGCTCTTTGCATCCTTCATGGCGTGGAGGCCGGACGATACGCACAGCTTGGGGAAATGGGGATCCCAAGCTCGCTGGTTGGTTTCATGGAACATCCTATGAAGAAATGGATGACTAGGGGTACCCCCATGACTTGGGAAACCTCCATATATATATATATATATCTACATAATAATAATCTTGGATTAAGGGGCCAATCATTAATACCACCACTTGGTGTTTGAAAAAAGGCGGAGAAAAAAGCGGGTGTATTTTGATTGACGTGGTCGATGATCCTTCAAGTACCATGGTTTTTTCCAGCCGAGTTCCTGAGAATTAATTCTTAGAGGATTCATCCAGGACTAATGGTTATAACCATTGGTTAATATACCATTAATAATAGTGGTCTGGTTGTATTAACCATTAACCATGGGTTGAAAGATTCGTTTTCACTAACGATTTGTTATTTTCATGGTCTAACTGTGAATTTTCCAGAGGATAACATCCATTTGAAAATAGAGCAGTGTTCAAAACCCCTGTTGGTTGATGATTAGTTCGGGGATTATATTACCCAATATGTTGTGGTTGGTGGTTTGGAACATTTTTTATTTTTTCATGTATTGGGAATAATCATCCCAACTGGCCAACTGGCTAATATTTTTCAGAGGGGTAGGTCAACCACCAACCAGTTGTGGATTATACTAATCCAATGGGGGAATCCCCATAACAACCAGTACGAATGACAGAGGGATTTTGAAGAATGTTGACAGGTGTATTGACCAGTGAATCCTGAGAAGTAAATCTTGGTGTATTAACCATTAACCAATTAACTTAGTTAACTAATTAATACCATTGCTTACTATAAATATACCACTAGTTAGGTCATATCAACCATGAACCATTACTGTACCCATGGTACTGTATGACCTAAATCTTAGTGTATTAACCATTAACCATTAACCATGGTATACCACACCATTAACCATGGTATACCATACCATTAGCCAATCAACTTCCCAGCCGCGGCCTTCAGATTCCGCCTGGCGCGCGAGAGTTCGCAGCAGCTGAAGAAGGCACTGGCAGAGACCGAGGCGGCGCATTTCGTCCGGGGACCCGCCCTTCGTTGAGGGATGGCGTTTGTGGGTCCCTGGGTTGTGGTCATAACTATGCTAAGGGGATATATAATGATATATAATGATATATATATATATGACTATGACTATGACTATGTATGACTATGTATGACTATGTAGTAAGTATTGTGCAACTATATGTATATAGTTGTTTGACGATATGATCGTCAGTATACGTAGGCCCGTGACGGCGTCCTGATGTGGTCTGAAATCAATGGTGATTTTAGCGGTGACTTTATGGCATGTTGCTGCGATCCATAGCCCTTTGGGGTGACTCATCTTGACCCTCAGGGACTTGGCAGTTTTGAAGTCCCATCCCTCCATCAGTTTGCTGCTCTGGAATGAGAGGCATGGTATACTAGGGCATGTTTGGATAGCCTTTCAGATTCTTGGGGGCCCATTGTCGTTGCAAATGCAACGTTAGTTACCGTTGGTTACAACCCCTCCAGTGGTTGGCGCCTTGAAGCATTTCTCATTTTTCATCATCCGGCAACTGAGATGATGGTCACGACTTTCACATATTTTCCTAAAATGGGGGTGGCTCAACCACCATCATAACCATCGCAAAATCCTGCAGAAAGGCCTTTCAGTCTCGAGGGCTCATGCTGCCGGGGCGCCTAGAGTTTCATCGTTTTCGTACCCCGAAAAGGTGGATATGGCGATTTTAGGCTACTTTATTCTATATAATGAGATAAACCATGGGATTTTGGGTGTCCCCAACATTTTCAAACAGAGGCATATTAGCCTTCTGCAAATAACATAGATGTGGAAAAATCCACGACGCACCGTTTGTAGATCGATCATTGTCCTGGGGAAACGATGAGTTTTCCACATCTTTTTGTATGTTGACCCTTGGGTAGCCATTAAAAAAACCACCAGATCAAAACAGTCAGGAAGTGTTAGGGGGACAGGATCTCTTCCAGCGACGATGTTAATGTGATACGATGCTAAGGAGTTCTTAGAAGTGGGAGGATCATCACACTTAGTGGTTAATGACCCTGGTTGATAAATCTACATGTCCTTGCTTAGCTTCATCTTGGTAACTGATTTCTAGCTCACCACTTCCTATCCAACTCACATAGATGCCATAGACGCCCCAGAAAAAGATCACCAGCGTCCCAGGGCGGATGCCTTCAGAAGGTCCGGAATCCCACGGACCGTGGGATTCGATTCCCGTCGATTCGTCCGAGACTTTTCCCCGAAGATGAACAGCACAGAACGGCGTTTTATTATACAATGCTGGTTGGTGGTTTGGAACATTTTTTATTTTTCCATATATTGGGAATGTCATCATCCCAACTGACTTTCATATTTTTCAGAGGGGTAGGTCAACCACCAACCAGAATGGATTTCATGGATTTAGCCTCTGGTTATTTGTTACACCAACGGCCATGGTTTTTCGATGGCCCCTTTGCGTTAAATCGATGCTTTACCGTCCTGGAGTTCATGGGATGATCTTCTTTCAGGTCACAAATTCACCAGGCCTTACCAAACATGACTTGACGTCCCAAGCGTTCTGCTCAAGTTGGATGGTTGGTCAGAAGCCCCAGATTTTATGACATGTTTATACTATTTTATACTTTAAATATCTGAAAAAATCATGAATTTCCAGCTCATTGTTTCACTTTAAGTTTCTATGTTTGCAAGTCAATCTGACCTGACCCAGCGGCATTTAATTTTTTTGTTCCAGCCCCTCGGCCACATGGGTTGGTCAGTTCGTCAATGTTGGTTAATGAATAGGAGCTACTCCCATTCCATCCAATTGGTTTATAATATCATACGAAATGGATCGACATGGCAAAAAAATAGGGGCCTACCTCTCATTTTTCTCTTACACCCAAATATATTATATGCTACATATGCAACTATATATATACACGTATATATCCTCCCATCAAATCCAAACATATCCCATTGTTTAAATCATTTTGGTCAAATCAGCCCATTTCTGCACATACCCCAAACAATCCCGTCCAATTTTTGGTGGTTAAATCTCTATTGTCCGCCCAATTTGAATCCATTTTTTTGACATTGTCGGCACACTTGTTTATTCAAAACTTCATGTTGATCAACTCCAACTCTGTTTTGGTTTATGCAATTTTGATTGGCATTTCTGAAAAAAGAATGCCCCATTTCTTGATGATCAAGTCAATCAAATCCGACTTTATTTTGGTTCATGTCCCATTTCCGTTCGATAGGTTTGTCTGAACATGTCCGAACATAGCGTATCCCCAATCCACTGATGAATCATCACATTTCCCATGAAATTGCCATTGGGGTATACCCCACCATGTCTCCCCATTCATAGATGTGGAACGACACATGGTCTCCTGTTCGAAAAATGATCTCCATTCAAGGTGGGTTTTCCACATCTATGTTACCCTCTGGTAACAAACAGCCAGACATGACCCATAGAAAGTTCGATGATCAAAATGATGATTTCCTAGGGGTACTGAAACATGGTGACATTATACCATGGTAATTGTGGTGATACCATATCATCACCTCTTGTATTCATCACTTTTAGGTACATTTACCATCATTTACCAGGATTTACCTATAATCTTTATATAATATATATATATATTCATATATATGAATATCTACATATATATATGACTGTTGAATTCATGCGGAAACTGCCGCAGCGTGAGACGCTTCTATGGGCAGGGCGGGAAAAAACATATATTACATATAGTATATGGTATATGGTATATAGATGTATATAGATATCTATATACCATATACTATATTCATGGTGATTTTCCACGTCGCAGCCAGCGTTCCAAAGTCAATTCCCACGGGTAGGTGGCGTCGCTGGGCCGCGGACTTGGCGTTCCAGCGCTCCGTGAGCGCCTTGCGCCCGGGGAACCCAGTCCGGACTGGTTCATAGAACTAGTCGATGCTGGTTGGTTTAATGGGATTTTATGGGATTTTATGGTGGTTTAAGGGGATCTCATGGGATTTTATGGTGGTTTAATCGGATCTCATGGGATTTTATGGTGGTTTAATGGGATTTAATGGGATTTCTTTGGATTTACCCTCTGGTAAACGTTAACATAACTATGGAAAATCACCATTTCAATGGGTAAATCCGCTATAAGTTGCCATTTTCAATAGCAAACTGTTATATTACCAGAGGGTAATTATCCTATATTATCCCTTTTGTGGAGATCCCAAATAAATTAGATCGTAAAACTTCCTATCACATATCATATATCATGAATCAACAATGGTATCTTAATGGCTCAAATGGGGGATTCCTAAGTCATCGGGGTATCCCAATAGCTGGATATAGCTGGATGGTTTATTTCATTGAAAATCCCTGAAAAAAATGGATGATGACTAGGGGTACGCCCATGACTAAACGGAAAGCTCCTCCATATGGCACAAAAAAAATGGATCATGACTGCTTGAGGATATGGTGTAGGATATGGATATGTGATGATGATGGATCATGATTAGATAGCCATCATATTATTTTGTGAAATAAGAATAAATAGGATCTCTGTAGGGTATCTAGGATTGGGCATAGCATCCAGCATGAAATTTAATACCTTCCATTGTTTGAAACTATTTGTGAAGATCATTTTAAGCCAAAACCAATGCCATTGCTGGTGGATGTAGGCGGATGAAGCCACCAGTCAGGAGTGTTTTAGGGTCATGGTTGAAACCATATCCAGATGGAGACTCTAAAGTGCAACAGCAGGGCGGGACTTGCTGTAACCACACTGATGCCAGATATTGCGATATTGTTTTGGAGTATCTTGGTATCTATCCCAACTATATACAGTAATAATTTGGTTGGTAAATGACCGGAAATAAATTGGGTGAAACTTGCAAGGACAAGGACAGAGTCAGCCTGAGGGCTGAAACCTTTACCATAAACTTCTAGATGGGAAACCCCAGAGAGTATCGGGAGAACTTTGGCTTTTAGAGTACAACATTGGCCGAAACAACCATGGAATTGAACATGCTGGCCCTCATGTTCAAATCATTTTCGGTTTGATTTCCATCATATTTCCAATGGCTGCTTCAACTAGTCAATAGATATTCTTGCGTTTGATATCATTTGGGTTACTCATGGGGGAACCTATGCATGTTGAGGATCTGAAACCCTTCCATTTGATCCTCCGGTTTTGCCAAAAGGAGAGTACCCCCATTCCATCCACTGGCTTATCTTCACCTGGTGGAAGACTCCACAAAGTGAGCTTGAAAAACCTCATTTTCAGACACCACATCATATTCTTATACTCTTGGCTTGATACATCCATAATTTGGTTAGGAACGAATCCCCCTTTGTAGTTCATATATATATATAAATGTTGCTATATTACATAGAATTCTGCATTGATTGGGGACAAAAATCCACCATTTTGCAACTTCACTAAATTCCATCAGTTTGCTACAGAAATCGACTTTTGTTTTGCTCCTGAAAATCACAAAATTTTTCCGCAGCCACCGCCCAGTGAGCCGCACCACGGGTCCTGGACGCGTGCTGGCGGTGGTCTCTTCCATTGAGGCTCGGCTTCCCGGTGGAGCACGAAGAGCACGAAGGTATGAAAGCAGCAACAATGGTGGTACACTGATGAAAGTATGGGGATATCATAGATTACTGGTTGGTGGTGACTGGAACCATGGAATTTTATGACTTTCCAAAAAGATTGGGAATTTCATCATCCCAACTGGCGAACTCCATTATTTTTCAGAGGGGTAGGGCTCAACCACCAACCAGCATAGATTATAGGATATCTTGTGCATCTGGATGAACTAGAATGACCGCGGTTTCTCGTCACTGGAATGATGAGGAAACCATTGGTTTGTTGATGAATCAGTGGTTTGTATTAATGGTTGTACCATCTAAGATGTCCTTTTCCCACTGGTTTGTTGATAGAGGGTTCCTAACCATTCAACCGACAAGATGATAATGATATCAAGCGACAACCAGGATAAATTTGGATTTTACTGGAATACACTGGGATCTGTAGATGTATTTAGTTGACAAATGGGCATAAATCACACCATTTATGGGGATTTAATGGAGATTTTACCATTTTACCAAATAAGAAATGGTGAGACATCCACCCAATATATATGGGCCACAAGTGAATAGATCCAACAAAACTCCAGGGTTTTGTTTGTGGTGTTATTTCATGGAGTTATTTCATTTTAGGGAGACAAGGGATTAAACACTTCCAATTTCAATGAATTTCATACATCCGACAATTATTGTCCATTTCATAATTTCAATCAACATTATTGTCCTTTGTACTATTTCATTCATCAATCCTTTTTATGAATATGGCTTTATCTCAAAAGGGTGGCAAAACACCGATTCACCGTCTTGGATTGCCATGGGTCACATGGGGATGGGCGGCTTATCCGTGGATTTTTCTGGGATTTTCCATGAAATAAACTTCCATATATGCATACCATTTCTATTGGGGCACCCCAGAAATCTGGATTTGATGGACCCCAGATGGGTGGATTTTAGTGGAATCCGTGGCGACGCCGTGTCAGGAGAAGCGCCAACGCTTGCTGTGCATGGAAGCCTTCTTGAGGTCTGCGCCGCCTGCGTGCATCAAAAAGCAACCACGATTGTGCTACGGTGCCAAAAAAAAAGGGGCCATAAAATGAAAGTCATGGGGATGTAACTTCTGAATAATTCCCCATTTTTTGAAGGGGGCTTGAATTGGCTTGGAATGTGTGTTGAAAGAGATGGATGATCGGTGGTATTGTTGGCTTTGCCACAATTGGATGATGGGGATATCACGGGTTATGTCTTGTCGCCAAATATTTGTTCAGAGGTTTCAATGTCTGTTCATGTTCCTACTTGGGAGGACGATCACAAGATATCACAAGTAACTTTCCTTTTGTGCTGGACTGAAACCACCGATCAGTCTATGTTTAACAAGACCTGTTGAGAGGATTGACCATTATCATTATTTGATCAGTATCTACGCACAGAAAAGGGGGCCCGATGGAACCGTTGAAGCGTGGCGATTGTTCTTTTTGAGGACCTGAAAGGAGTCTGGTTTCAGGGCTTTAAAGAGCCAAAGGAATGAATACCAGCAACTCCAAGATTCCAAGGACCCCGTACTTTTGGGGCTTGACCCCCGTACGATCTACTCGTAGATCCCAGGTCTTAGATCAAGTCAAAAACACCTGAAATATGGTGGAATGCTCCTGAACACGACCAGAATTTTGTGCTGCAAGCAGTGTCATAATGACCTATACCCTCTGGTTATGACTAACAGTTCGCCATGGTTAAGCCATGGCCCTAATCGAAATAGATGCTTTACCGTTCTTAAAAACGGGTGGATTTTCCATGGCAAACTGTTAGTCATAACCAGATGGTAATTCTAGTGCCATCCTCCAATGACACTGATCGGATCTATTTTGGATCCATCTTTGGAAGACCAAGTTCCAAGTTGGCTTATAATCAATGGATTGGTCTAAGGGAAAATGTACAGGAAAGCCCCATATTTAATGGGAAAATCTATGGTTTCCTGTAGATTTTCCCTTAAACCAATCCATTGATATAATCAGTCCTAAGTTGGTTTATGATTCCATAGACAATAGAACACTATGTATGTCACCGGAATGATGGTTAGGATTCGGGGTAACCATCTCAACATATTCCTTATTTCAGATTAGTGAATGATTACTATATATTTAATATTTACCCATTAATTGTATATATATATATTTAATATAATCATCCTAAAGTAGATAGAATATGTGATTTTGAAAGATATTCACATATTTTAGTTTTGTTTTAAACAAATCCATATTCTACTCCAGGATGACTATGTATAAAACATTATGAAACCACCATAAATCCGTTCCCACCCAGCGTCCCTTTAGGTGGCGCATGGTCTTGCGCTGGAAGAGCCAGTCCCCTGTGACCACGTCGCCTCGAGGGCAAGTCACGAGCCTCAAGGTTGAACCATAGATGTCCTTTTCCCATTGGTTGGGAAAATGATGATATATAGATGGTATACCAAAACAACAGGTAAATGATGATAGATGGTTTTACCATTGTTTGAAGAAACCCCTTTAACAACAGGTTTCTATGATGATAGGGGGTATACCAGCTCCCGGCCCAAACCCATTTTTACCAAAAGGCATTGGAACCCACCAATTCATTGGGGAATGAGTTTTTGAGGAACCCATTTGTGGGGATTTAAGCCAGCAATTTTTGGGCATTCAACTACTGTTCAACTCGCTTTTTTTAGGGGGATTTGACACCTTTTTCCCATCATCAAACAGTTTTTTTTTAATGAACGACTGGGACTACTGGGAAAGGTCCTTTGAAGCGACGCTGACGACGCATCACCAAAATGGGTTCTATTGCTGGTTTGTGAATGATCGTTTTTTTTGGATCTACCTAGATACTGATAGATCAGCAAGATATGTATACGTGACCAAGGCGCTGGCTCAAGACATAGCAGCTCAGGGCGACTGGTTCCATCCATGATGTCATCCTGCTGAAAATTCAAGCCAAGTCAATCCTCAACGTTTGGGTTTTGGCTGATTTGTAGCAATGTTTGGGGCTCCAAAAAAGAACTTTTGCTTTTGACCCATGGATGAAGTTCCGAAACTCCAGGATCCCAAGAATTCTCGCAGAACTGGATCAGTTGGATCAGCACAGCAGTGTTTTCCACGTCAGATCGAGAGCCGTTTTTCTGTACCGCTTCGCCGTTTTTGTACCGCGGAAAATGACGTGGGAAGATCTCAGACAAGCGCCCCGATGGCACCGAGATACAGACGGGGGAAGAGGTTGGAAAGCAACACTGTTACCCTCTGGTAATTTAACATAGCTATAGAAAATCACCATTTTCAATGGGAAAATCCACTATAACTGGTCATTTTCAATAGCTATGTTAAATTACCAGAGGGTATATGCTGGAAGTTACTTGGAGGATCATCCCACGAATTGTAGCTGGCGAATTGGTTTATCTAATAAGATCTAATAAGCCTGATCAGTAAGTTCCCCTTGGGTTATCCTATAGGTGGACGAATCCCAGTTACTAACCACCTCTACGAGCACATCGCAAGGCTCTAGATTTTGGGGAATGCAAGAAGTGAGATCGTGGGCAGTTGCCCAGATATGGATCAAGCAGCATATATTATTTGAATGAAACAAGAACAATAATAGTGACACTAGAAATGATAATGGTATAACTTTGATACTGTAATGCAATAGCTGCTTTTTCTCCAAGCAGATCTAGAAGTCCAACGCTTCACAACTTGACCGAGCCTGAGGAATGTTGGGGGTGCCTTCATTCGCAGAAATCAAAAAAACAAAATTTGAGCCACTAAGATCACTGTTGATTCATGATATATGATGATATATGATAGGAAGTTTTACTACCTAATTGATTTGGGATCTCGACCAAAGGGATAATATGGGATGATTATCTATGAACCTAATGGGATAGGTTGCGAGCTAGCTTTCATGGCTCATTCTGTTCCAACCCCCCCCAGTCTTATAACTTTCTGGACCCGTTCAATTGATGACAGGGAATTTCACACACTCATGTCTGAACTATAGATACCCTCTGGTAAACTAACATAACTATGGAAAATCACCATTTTCAATGGGTAAATCCACTATAAATGGCCATTGTCAATAGCTATGTTAAATTACCAGAGGGTAACTATAGTATGAATGCGTCCCTGTGAATGGCAGAGGGCTTCAAGTTGCACAAGACACCTGCGGTCAACATTATGCAGAGAATCATTGCCATGGGGGCTTGGGAAATGTCAGTTGGAGAGACAAGCTCTGTCAACCCTGGATTAGTTGAGCCACCAACTAGTTACAGCCCAGGGAATCACCAATCCTCGGTTTGCAATCTTTTAGATCCTCTTGGAAAGGAAGCTCATTTGTCTCCAGTATCTTTAAAGAATTTTAAAGACCGCAAGACTTGACACCAGTACTGCACGTCTGATCAGAAACCAAGGGGTTTTCAGGCTGCCCTGAAGTCCATCCCTGTAAAAATGAACCAAGGCTGTCTTCCTCAACCCTGCCCCCATGGGGCTCCTGCGCGTTTGGCACCTGGCTGGCCCTTCATGTGGCCTGGCAGAGCCAGGGATGAACTCCGGCGCTTGTTTTTGCGGCGGCGATTTTCTTGGGCAGATTTCACCAACAAAGATGGTGATTTAACCAACAAACAGTATCAAACAGTTGTTTTCAATCAAGAACTTTTGCCGGTGTTCACCATAAACTGGTTTTTCATCAAGTAATATCAAGTATCAAACAGTATTTCACTTTCACAAACAGTATCAAACAGTATTTCACTTTCACAAACAAACAGTATCAAACATGGTTTTAACATGGTTTTAACATGTTTGATATTTATAATCAGAAATTGAGTTATTCGGACGACTTGGGATTTCACCGTTACCTGGGGGAATTTTCGAAGCTGGTTAAACCATGGATCACCATGGAGATTTACCCTCTGGTAATTTAACAGTTTGCTATGGAACATGGTCATTTCTAATTGATTTACCCATTAAACATGGTGATTTTCCATAGTTGTGTTTGTTTACCAGAAGGTAACCAATATGGGTCAAGTCAATAGGGTACCCCCAATATGGCATAATGTTGTCTGCTGGGTCATGGCAGAAATGGAGCGAAATGGGTCATAGATTTTTCCGCGCCCAAAAACATCACAGAAGTTGCTGTCGGATTTTTTTTCGGCACACTTCAATGAAGTTTTCCGCTGAGCTGATCGATGAAGGGTTCAACCACCAATCTCATGGATTGATTTGTACGGGAAAAACTATGGCTTTTGAATCATACCTCCCAAAGAGGGGTTTCCTGAAAATTCCTTCGCAATCCGAAAAAATCCCATTGAATCCCATGGGTTTCACCTGGTTTTCCTATGTTTTCCCCACGAATTTCATGGCCTTCAGACCTCGCATCCCCAGGCTGTTGCAAGGCGCGCGTCCTCACCAAGGGAGCCGAACTGAGACCGGATCCATCCTGGTGGCCGGAGCTGGGACGATGCCACTGGCCGCCTCCGCCATGGTGATATGGGAGGTTTTACCGAATAAAACCCCCTTAGAAGGCAATACCCTCTGGTAATTTAACATAGCTATTGAAAATGACCATTTATAGTGGATTTTCCCATTGAAAATGGTGATTTTCCATAGCTATGTTAAATTACCAGAGGGTACATTCAGAGTCATTGTTAGATTGATTTATTGCTCAGCATTTGTTGTTGGTGAGTTGGTTGACTAACCAGCTGCTTAGTAGCCATTTGTTGGCCCGCTGTGTGATGTCGCTGTCATTTCTTTTGCATGATTTCGGCAGGAGATGGCAGGAGGTGAGTTGGGCCTCCAATACAAGAACATGATTAATTCACTAGCACCCCTGGCATTTACAAGCACGGGAGCAGTCGTTTATCCGCTGTTTTGTTATTGTTCAGTGGACATAGCACCGATGCTCTTGCGGCAACGGATGTCTTTTTCAAACTCTTGTTGCCAACAAAACACACAGAGAGTTGGAATTACCCTCTGGTTATTTAACATAGCCATGGGAAATGGCCCATAGAAATAGATGGTTTACCGTTCTTAAAAATGGGTGGATTTTCCCATGGCAAACTGTTAGTCATAACCAGATGGTCGTGTGGGTTGCGAAACCTCCACACAACTCTCCACAAAACTCCGATTGCGAACTCCTGGGGGATGTCTACTGATGTCTACAACCTCCAAGGCCATTTGGTGGCTCAGTTGCGATCCAACGCTTCTTGGCACGCGGTGACCAAGTCGACAGTCGTGACAGTCGATGGATCATAGCTGGGGGAAGCATCCCAAATTCAGCGCTAGTTACACTAAGCAATAGATTCACCACTTTTTTCAAAGTGCTCATAACCATGGTTACAAGCCAAACAGCTAACCATGAGCTATATGAGTCACCACCAATCATTGAGGACAACTATAAACTATTCGTGGTGTTCATTGCTCTCGATGAACATATGTGGGGAATCCACAAGTTTCCATGAAAGGTGAATTTCAATATATACAATTAGAGATGTATAATTAATTATAATTATATATACACATTATTATGTTTATTATTACATATATATATATAATATGTAAAGTCGTTTTATTGTGTGAATCTACTACTAGAGGGTATCCTCAACTTATCACCTAATGATTCATAATTCATACCGTAGAATTACCAGATCCTCCATCCTTTTGGATCCCCACAACGGATTTCTGGGACCTGGGATGGACAAAAACCACATACCGCATGAATTTTCACCATGTTTCGACCATGACAGATACATATCTCACAATGCATATATATATATAATTATATATACATAATTATATATATAATTATATATATAATTATATATATTATATGATATGATATGATATATACGCTACATGCGTGATATTGTATACACTATATATTATATCATATTATACGATTTTTCCTATATATATATATGTATATATATATATATATATGTATATATATATATACACAAAATCCCATTATATCCCAAATTCCAAGCCTCCGGGCCTCCGGCAGCTCCGCAAGCCCTAGGAGCCGTTTCTGGCCCTGGACCGGCTCTGGGCGTTGCTGCACTTGCGCCCGGAGCAAGCGAACATGGCCACCCCGGAGGGGAAACCCATGACGCTGGCGGTGAAGAAAGGCCATGGCTATGGATATTGTTTGATGTTGTGACTAGACACTAGATATAGATAGATATAGTGCATATGTATATATATATATACATATGCACATATGTATATATATATACTGTATACATTTTTTTGCTTTCTGAGTGATGGTGACTTAGACTAAAGTGACTAAAGAGGAGTCAGACATGGTATATTTACCAAGAGTTACTGCATCCCCGAAATCAGCAAGGCTTGTGGGCAAATATACCATAATACATTGATTGTATGGGTTGTCTCAATATTGGGACCGCCGTTCCATCTTATGTTGCAGGAAATCAGTTTCAACTGATACAAAAGCGGTGAATTGGGCGTGAATACACCACTTCTCCACAAACAAACACCATATTGTTGTTTTTATCTCTTCCAGCACCCCTCAGACTATTTACACATATTTGGGAGTGTAGAATTGGGGGTGTTTAATATGAACAAATCGGGATATACACCCTACAGCTATGGTTACATATTGATTTACCCCCAAATATGACCATGAATTGGTGGTTGATTCGGGACACGTACCCTCATAAATCACAAGGTGTATGTACCTTGTTTTGGCTCAAGTAAAATAGGAGTGTTGCAATTTTCTGATCATGGTAGCGGAGCGCTCGGTTAAGCTCCAGTAGATGCAAAACCTTTGGATCCCCATCGAAACCCTTGGTGACAGAGTGGTAAGGTTGTGGTACCGGTTGGTTAACAGGTTGTTCAGGATCCGCAGGTTGCAGAGGTACTTCGGCCACTTGGGGCAGCACCTACAGGACTTGGTGCAGACGTCGGAGTTCAGGCGACGGCTGCTGAACTCTCGGTTGTCTCGACCGGGAGTTGCATACGCTGAGCCGGAATTGCCTGAGGAGCCGTGATGGCGACCATGGAGGAGATCGTGGCGCAGATCCAGACGTTGCGGCAGGAGCTGCAGGAGAGCCGAAGGAGAGAAGAGGACCTGAATACCAGACTCCAGGCAGTGCAAGCTTCAGGAGCGGTTCAGGCAACTTTGGAGGAGATGGTGAACACGCAGAAGGCCATCTTGGAAGCATCTAAGAAGCCTGACAGGAAATTGACTTTGGTAGACAACCGTGGGTTGGCAAAACCAAACAACTACGATGGAAGTGCGGATTTCTTGCAGTGGAAGATCCGACTTGAAGCGTTTGTGGAGTCAGTCCATGACGACTTTGGGAAAGCTATGGCTTGGGCGGAAGATGAAACCGATCCAATCAGCACCTCTTCAATGTCAGCCGAGTTTGGAGACGTCAATCCTGCTCAGGAGACAATTCCAGACTTGGAAGCCAAGGATGCGCAGCTTTACGCAGTCCTTCAGACGCTCTGCGAGAAGGAAGCGTTCACGCTGGTTAGAAGCTCAGGGAAAGGAAAGGGCTTAGAGGCTTGGAGGAGACTTTGCAAGAGGTATGGCCCGTCGACAGGAGGACGCCGACGAGCGTTGCTCCGTAGCGTGCTCAGTCCTAACCGTTGTGGCAAGGTGGAAGAGTTGAGCGCAGCGGTCGAAATCTGGGAAGACCAGGTTAGACAATATGAGAATCGACGCAAAACTGATGGCACCAGGCCAACGTTGGATGAAGACATAAAGATATCGATCTTAGAGTCGATTTGTCCGGTTGAGGTTGAAAGACATCTTCAACTTAATCAGGCACGATTTGCCGATTACCAGGAGGTACGCAAAGAGTTGTCGACCTACTTGGAAACGAGGATCGGGCTGAAGCTCAAGGCAGGTTCGTACGTTGACACCGGAGGAGTCCAGCCAATGGACATTGGAGCCTTCGGTAACGACAAAGCCAAGAAGGTTTGTCACAACTGCGGAAAGCCAGGTCACTTCAAGTCCGACTGCTGGGCACCAGGTGGAGGAAAAGCTTCTTCGCAGGGAAAGTCTGGTAAGCAAGGAAAAGGGCAGAAAGGCGGTCAGCAGTCCAACTCAGGTGGAAAGAAAGGATCTCCGAAAGGATCGAAAGGAGGAAGCAAAGGAGGTGGAAAGACCACCAAAGGCAAAGACAAAGGCAAAGGAAAGAACAACAAAGGTAAAGGAAAAGCTATGGGCAATGTTGAGGCTGAGAAGGAACCAGAAGCTGAGGAGCAGGCCGGGTCTTGGGATGCCAGTGGATGGGAAGGTCATGATGAATCCGGTTGGAACAACTGGACTGAAGGCAGGGCTCAAGCCTGGAGGGTAATTACCTTTCTCTAGGCGCGTTGCACCGTTCCGCCATGGTGACCAAGCGGCATGGCGATTCCGACAGCTCAGGACTTGCTGAAAGCTTGGTTGCAGCACTAAGGAACCTCCCTCGTGGCACAGATGCCGGGTTGCGAGACTCTGGAACTGGTTCTTCCGGAGATCGCTCGGTCGACATGATGATGAGGTTGATCGACGAGAACTACAGGCTGCGTGACCAACTGAGGGCCCAAGGTGACCAGGAGCAGAGAAGCTCAGAACGTGACAGGAGCCGTCGAAGACGTTCCTCACCCCAAAGGGAACCAGAGCCCGAAGAAAGATCCCGTGATAGGTCAAGGCGCAAGCGGCATGACTCAAGGCCGAAGCGCAATCGTGATGATGGCCGACATGGGAGACGCAGGGCCAGAAGTGAAAGCAGCGGCAGGAACAGGGAGTTGGTTGACAGAACGGCCACTCCGAAGAATGCCGCAAGGCGCAAGAGCGAGACTCCAGCGGCCAGTGACAGAACAGTCAGCCGAACCCCAAGGGGTAGCGTTGGCGACTACTTGAAGAGTAAGGCCGACGCCAGAAGGGCTGGTGAAGCAAGATCTTCGACTGCCTCGGTTGGAGACTTGCCGCCCGGCATGAGGACGCCCAGGAGTCCTCCCGGGCCACCTCCGCACAAGCGGAAGAAGCTCGAGATCAAGCCAGAGAAGAAGAACGAGGTCGAGCCGGAGGAGCGCACCGACGCCAAGAACACGAAGCCCAAAAGTGAAGGGGCGCCAGCTATCAAGGCGAAGCCAAAGCCCAAGACGAACTCAGGGCTCACCAGCGGTTCACTCTCGGTGCTTCGTGGCACACTTGCCACGCAGCTGATGCTGGATGCCGAGAAGACCAATGACCCCGAGTTGAAGAAGGAACTTGAGCGCCAGAAGAACGAGCTACAGCAGCGTGCACCAAGAAGGTCAGTGGCGATCACGGCGGACAACCTCAATGACCAGTCATTCCATGATTCCAGGTACTATGCGGATGTTGCGTCAGGCAAGGCGCACCACATCGCTTGGAAGAATGAGAAGGGCCGCCGTCGAGCCATCTTGGACCGTAAAGATGGTGTCATTGACCGCGCCAGGGAGCGTATGCGCCTGGATGCGGAATGGCATGAAGAGCACGCTCAGCTGAACTCAGGTTCCAAGAAGCAAGATGTGGAAGGTCTTAGGGCCGATGTGGAGACCGAGATCATCGACGAGAGGGAGCGCGACAAGGATAAGCCCCTGGAACCTCAGAAGGAAGCTGTGGCTTTGAGCCGCCGGGAGAAGGAATCCTTCCGGCAGTTTCCCAAGGACGAGCAAGAGACCTTGGATAAGCCCACAAAGAGGAAGGAACAAGGGCCGAGAATCAGAGGGCCCGACTACTACCGTCGGAAGAATGCCGCCCGACGTGAAAGACAGAAGGCCGAGAAGGCCGAGCAACGAGCAAAGGAGAAGGAAGGTCGAGACCGTGACCGACGACACGGATGGGATCCGGAAGAAGATGAAGACGATGGTGGTGGTGACACTGAGAGTAACAGCAACTACCTCAGTTCGCTCTTGGCTCCTCTGGGTGGATCGCCTGGAGAGCCACACGTGGTGGAAGAGCGTGATGGATGGAGGAAGATTGAAGTGAATCTGGACACGGGAGCCGCCGCGACGGCGATCCCGACAGACTTGAACCTGGATGGACATGCCAGGACCCCACCACAGAACGTCAACTACAAGACGGCGTCAGCAGAGTGCCTTGCTGACGAAGGTGGTGTAGTGCTCAAGGGCACAGATGTCTACGGAAGTGCCAAGGTGTTGGAAGGGCGTGTGACAGGAGTCCACCGCACTTTGGCGTCAGGCGCAAAGGTTGCGCGACATCACTATATGGCGCTGGGAGCACATGGAGGTCAACTCATTCCCAGGAACTCCCAGGCTGGAAAGGAATATGCAGCCTTCATGGAGAAGCTGCACAAGAAGCACAATTGCATGACACCTGTCAAGGTCCGCAATGGGATCTATTTGATGGACTTTTGGATCGCACCGGGCACCTCGGAAGGCTCTTTTCACGGGCCTCCCGAACGGGTGTAAGTCCGGAGCTGCAGCCACTGGACGATGAAGGTGCTCCAGCCGCGTCGGCAGGAGACCTTGGTGGCGATGAGGCCGCAGAAGACGGCCACCAGTCTTCAGAAGAGATTGGAGAAGAGCAGAGGCAGGTGATCGTGAAGCGGTCCCCCGCAGATCCTACCGACCGAGAAATACAGGAGCACCGTGCTGCTGGGCACGTTGTTCACCGAAGCTGGTGTCTTCACTGCCAGAGGGCTCGGGTAACGGGCCAACGCCACAGAAGCGGTGACCCAGCTCGGGATGAGGATGGTAGGATGCCGTATGTTTCACTAGATTACTTTTACCTGAATTCAGGGCAGGAAAAGAGTGACGCTGATGGCATTTTGCCTTGCTTGGTTGTGAAGTGTCACAAAACTGGGCGCTATTGGGCAAACGTAGTTCCGTCAAAGGGTGCAGAATTGTTCGCAGTTGAATGGTTGAAGTCTTGCCTCAATGAAACAGGTTTCAAAGAACTATGCCTGAAGAGCGACAACGAGCCGGCGATCATGGCTTTGAAGAATAAAGTGAAGGAGGAAAGCAGGTTAAAGATTCATCTTGCTGAGGCGCCGGTGGAGGATCACCAGGCGAACGGCTTCATTGAGGTCGCAGTAAGAGAAGTGAAGAGACAGGTCAGGGCGATGCTGTCTGACCTTCAGGAAAGGCTTGGGTTCGAGGTGGAACCGAGTCACCCATGTATGATGTGGCTGCCACGCCATGCAGCCTACCTCCTCACCAGGTTCCGGATTGGACCGGATGGAAAGACACCGTATGAACGGACCTTCGGAAGAAGCTGGAGGATACCGTTGGTAAGTTTTGGGGAGCATATCTTGTTCAGGCCAAGACCCCCAAGAGACGGACGACGTCATGATCTCGCACCAAGAGTGTCCATGGGAATGTTCGTGGGCACAGGACTGCGCAACAACGACATCTTCGTCATGACGGCAAAGGGAATTGTCAAAGGAAATACAATCACTCGAAGACCTCCTGAAGACCAGTTCAAGTACGAGAATTGGAGTGAACTCCGGGGTGTTCCTTGGAGACTCCAATCGCGTGAGGCTGGCGAGGTTCGAGTTGACTTGCCAGTGGTTGTCGGGCCGTTGAGCCGACCACCAGCTGAAGAAGTGATTCCACGGAATCTTTATGTGACGAAGAGCGACATCGAGAAGTACGGTCGGACCCCGTTGTGTCCGGGATGTGAAGCGCAGTTGCTTGAGACAGGGCGCAGGGCCCACAATGCCGAGTGCAGGTTCAGAATCGAAGGCGAGCTCATGAAGTCCGAAGAAGGGAAGAAAAGGATTGAAGCAGCAAAGGCAAGAATAGAATCAGGGCGTCGCCCCAAAGCTCCTAGAGTCGGAGGAGGGGCAGACGAATCAGAGGTTGTGGAAGCTGCCAACGTTCCTGCGTTGGTAGGCATTCCAGAGCCTGATGCCGAAATGGCCTCGGGAGAAGCTGTTGGAGAACCATTGGAACGAGTCGCACCCCGCGAGCTTGAGGAACGAGAAGAAGAGCCAAGAAGCCCAAAGAAGCACAAGTCCGGCGCCAGTCGGACAAAGAGAAGCCCAGAAGCAGATGTTGAGGAGTTGCATCAACAGATGCAAGAAGAAGCTCCAGCAGGAGGAGCAGCTGAGTCGGGACCAATTCCGGCTGCCGGGAGCAATGACCCCCGGCCACACATGCCGCCAGTCGCACCTCCAGATGCTTCACCAGGAGGAGACGACATGGTAGACATCGGACATCTGTCCATGTGTCTTTGTTCAGTTTTGAGGGAAGCCCGGAAGAAAGGCAATGTGCAGAAGACTGTTTCAGAAATCTTCTCACCCCCAAGAGTTTCAGCGCAAGCTCAATTGGTCGGTTTGCGACCCGGATTCGCAATCGATCTTGAAACAAAGAGAGAGGATGGAGATCATTGGGATCTCAGCAAGGATTCACACATTGAAGACCTTTTTACGCTTTTGGACAAAGAGAAACCCAAACTTTTAGGTGGTTCACCGCCATGTGGACCATTCTCGCAACTTCAGAACCTTGTTGACGCCAGGAACCAAGTCCCCGCGTCAGTTAGGTCAAAGAGACTTCAAGAAGGTAAGAAGCACCTGAGAACCTCAGTGCGTGCTTACCGCGCACAGACGGACGCGGGTCGTTATTTTCTTCACGAGCACCCAAAGGGCGCACGAAGTTGGGAAGAGCCAGAAGTTGAAGAACTACGCAAAGATCCCCGCGTATACGAAGTCACAGGACCTATGTGTCGTTGGAAGATGGAGTCCTCCGATGCATGAGGCAAAGGCCTAGTCAAGAAGGAAACCAGGTGGTTGACCAATTCGCGACACATCGCGACAATACTATCTGGTGTTTGTTCGAATGTTGAAGGAAAGACTTGGCATAGACATGTGAACCTCATCAACGGCAGGGCGAGATCAGCACAGGTATATCCCCCACTGTTGGTTCGAGGAATACTGGAAGCTCTTAGAAATCAACTGGCTGAAGACGGTGAATTCAGTCAAGCTTTGAATTCCCTCGGTGCTGGGCCAGTACCAGATGCTGTTCCAGTCATCGACGAGGAACAAGAAGTTTACGACAGTTTGCCTCCCGCCGATTTGCCAGTCGCAGGACCAGTCTATGATTCCAACACCGGAGCGGAGTTGGATCTAGCTAAGGTAGCAGCTGCGAGACGCGAAGAACTGGATTGGGTGCAGAAGCAATGCATCTATAAGAAGGTGCCTGCAGAACAGGCACGCGCTGCTGGGAAAGTTCCCATCACAATGAAATGGGTCGATCGCAACAAGGGCGACCTGGACAGACCAAACTACAGGTCTCGGATCGTCTGTCGCGAGATCAAACGATCCAAGAATGCGGACTACATCCCAGAGCATGCAAGCTTTAGTGCAATGCCGCCACTTGAGGCTCTGAAGATGTTACTGTCACTCATGGTAACTCTCCGAACCTCAAAGCGCAATCGAAAACCTCTCAAGTTACGCCTACTGGATATCTCCAGGGCGCATTTCTACGGACATGCGCAACGAGAGATCTTTGTTACTCTTCCAGAAGGTGATCAAGAAGAAGGTATGGTGGGACTGCTGCTGAAAAGCATGTATGGGACGCGCGATGCCGCCCATATCTGGCAGCAATCCTATACAGATGTGCTGCTTGCAGCAGGGTTCAAAAGATCCGCTGCATGGCCAGCAATCTTCTTTCACGAACGCTTGGAAGCAAGGCTGCTAGTCCATGGAGATGACTTTGTCATTCTGGGCGATGACGCAGCGCAGGAGTTTGTGGAGAAAGCACTAAGAGAAAAGTACGATCTTCGTGTCGATGGAAGCATTGGCGTAGGAGAGGCAAAGCAGGAGTTTTGTGTCTTGAACCGTCTCGTACGTTTCGACGAGCGGTCAGGATCAATCTTCTACGAGCCAGATCCACGTCACGCCGAGATCTTGCTCAAGGATTTAGGCATGGAGACGTGCAAGCCAGTCAAGAGCCCAAACGAAAAGCTAACTGCAGAAGCGCTAGCCAAAAGGTTAGAACTGGATGTGGTTGATCCACACAGGATCAGTCAATATCGTTCGCTCACTATGCGAGCAGCGTTCTTAGCCCAAGACCGTCCTGATTTGTCAGAGACAGTCAAGTGCCTCGCACGAAAGATGCAAGGACCCACCGAAGCTGATTTCGGTGACCTGAAGCGTCTAGCTAGGTATTTGAAGGGCAATATGCGAATGGTGCAGAAGTTCACTCCGCAGAAGTTCAGCAATGTTGTGTCAGTTCATGCCGACTCGGACTTCGCAGGCTGTCTTCTCACTCGGAAGAGTACTACAGGTCTAGTCTGTTACTATGGGCGACACACTTTGCGCCACTCGAGTAACCTACAGTCCACAGTCAGTCTTTCATCAGGAGAAAGCGAATACTATGCCTTGGTCAAGGCAGTGGCTTCCGGAATGGCAACCCAGGAGCTACTTAGAAGCTGGGGCATTAATGCGAATCTCCAGGTGTACACTGACTCAGCTGCAGCACTTGGAACGTGCAATCGGCTTGGACTTGGGAAATCGAGACACATACAGACCAGATACCTCTGGATTCAGGAGAAGTTGGCCGAGCGATCGTTCGAGCTGATCAAGATCGACACCAAGCTGAATACCGCCGACATCTGTACCAAAGCATTGGCAAGCGAAGCTGCAGAACGACATCTGAAGGCAATGGGTTTCGAAGTAGTTCAAGGACGTTCATCAATAGCAAAGGCTGTTGTGTAGTGTCCCAAAGTGGACAATGGCCTAAATCACCCACTGTCCAGGAGGGGTGATTCGGGACACGTACCCTCATAAATCATGAGGTGTATGTACCTTGTTTTGGCTCAAGTAAAATAGGAGTGTTGCAATTTTCTGATCAGTGGTTTAACAACTGGAAAAAGAGGAGTTGCCATTCCAAATTTGATGATCCAGAAAATCTGGGGCAATATGGGATTTAATGGGGATAATCATGGATAATCAATAATTGATAATTAATAATCACGAATTAATATTTGATAACTAATAATTGATAAACAGTACTCAATAATTATACAGGAACAATCCATTAGTAATTATTAATTTATAATTAATGATTAATAGTTGATAGTCATATATCATATCATATCATATAATATCATATCATATCATTTCATAATATATCATAATAATGTGGGTATGTTATCCAGAAAATATGAGTATCATATCATATCCTATCATATCAGGCATTCAATATCCAGAATACGATGTAATCTGGTGACGTAATGGGATAATATCCGTATAGTGGGACATTTTTTTAAAATCAGATCATGATTTAAATAGATCAACAATCAAGAACTATTAAACTATATATTGAAATAGAAAACAATAATTTGGGTATATAATGATACCAAAAATCATCTAATGGGATAGTATTCAAAAAATAAGGTAAGCATATCATATTCAACTCCCATACATCTGCATTGTCGAATCACATTATCTCTTACCATATTATCCTGGATTATAATCACTATAATATCAGCAATTCTGGATATCTTCTCCAATCCTATCATCCTTCAATGACCAAATTGGAGATGAACACCATTCACAATCATAGTATTTAAATATAAGATCTGGATATTGATATATGTTCACATATGGATCGTTATCACCATATCATCATATTATCACCATAAACAATCATAGTACTACATTGTAATTATAACAAAATATCAATGACCAACTATTCAAATATAATTATAATTATAATTCAATATAAAGTGGACAAAACCATGTCATAAACTACCCATTTGGGAATGGTTTATACAAGCTATAAAAATGGGATGACTGAGGGATGGTCTATGGCATTCATTGTTTTATCCACATTAATTGCAATTGTACATTGTAGCTATATCGATTATAACAATCATGACAATCATAACAATTATTCATATAATTATAATTCCATATCATGAATATGAATAACTATTATAACTATTATATAATTATTATCCAATACTATTTCATAATATATATATATATCAATTAATTATACATTGATAGTGATATGATCAATGCCAAATATCATTAATTATCAACATCATTGTAATTATCATAACTATATAAAACTGGCTATAATGATTAGTCATAGTTATTCATATATAGTTATAATTATCATTGTATTATCATTGGTCAAGTAACATTATATGGTAATTATCATTAGTTATCCAATCATGAAATAATGATTATTACAACTATACATGTGATAATGACAATCATAAGAATTACCCTCTGGTAAACTAACATAATTATGGAAAATCACCATTTTTAATGGGAAAATCCACTATAAATGGCCATTTTCAATAGCTATTTTGACATAACCAGAGGGTAAATCCAATCTGAAATCCCATTAGATCCTATTAAACCACCATAAAATCCCATTAAATCCTATTAAACCAGAGGGTATTCATGATGATGAAACTGGCCTAGCAGGCTGCCGCGGCTGCGCCGAGCTCCTGCGTCTGCACGGCGCCGTGTTGTCGCCGGGCGCGGCCAATGCGCTGCTCTACGAGGCCGCGGCGGCAGGCGCGGCCTCCTGTCGTTTGATGTGGTTTTTTAAGGTGGCTGAACCATCATTTTATGCACCATAAAGATGATCTATATATATATATGTATTATATGTATATATATATATACACGATGTGATCAATGGTGATGTGATCAATGGTGATGTGATAATATATATATATATCATTTATAATATGTTTATCGTCATATTGGGATTTTTGATTCATGTGTCTATATACTCTTGCAGTTCTTCACCCACCATTTTTCCAGGCAACTCCAGATGCTTGGAAACTTGGCCATGGGACCCGGTTCGCTGGTGAGGGGTTCACCAACCAGCAGCAATGGATAGAGATATTACTAACAACCAAAAAGATCGGGGGGATATTACTTACAAATATATGATTGGTGGAATGGAACATTTTTCATTTTCCCATGTATTGGGAATAATCATCCTAACTGACTTTCATATTTTTCAGAGGGGTAGGTATACCACCAACCAGAATATCTAATTTTTTGTTGAGATTATACCCCTAAAAACATCTAGAACCAACAGATGGGATGGGAAAACACCAATATTTTTTTACACCACCATAAATTGGGTCCCAAACATGTCTGAATCTCCCTGCTAAACCATGGTCTTGGGGGATGTGTAAGGGAAGGAATTATACCACACTGTTTTTTTTGTTCCGCCAAATCTCAAAATTAGTTAGCTTACGAAACAGATGCTGTTGAACGATTCTTGCTCCTGCCAGTTGAAAGAAATACCCTTATAAAAAGTCACGATCCATTCCTTCGAAAATTATCAACATGAAAATATCTCAATCTCATGTTTTGCATGGCTCTAGGGCTCCCATGAAGACATTCGTTTACACCATGGGGTGGTGGATTGGGTGGTAGGTCCTGGTAGGTACTTATCTTGATCAGTATGCCCCACTTTCTCCAGACGTTGATAAGTTAGTACCCTGATGTCCCAAGAGAAATGCATTGCTTGTGATCCCAGATGTCAGCCCCATACCCCCCGTTGGTGATCCCAAACTGCACCACCCAACAGTGATGCACTACTGGATCTACTGATGTCCCAAGATGAAAATTACCCATGCATTGACTTGACAGGAAAGCCTCTATTTGAAGGTATACCACACTGGTCTCCTGTAAAATGATCCTGAAACCAAGCCATTGATTCCATTGATATCTGGTGATCTTCCCGTCTTCCCCGTTGCTGGATCCATGTTAGTAAATGAATGTGAATTATATATCTTTCGTCAATATCAAACATGAATAGAAATTCTTCAGAAGGGTTTTAGTCCAAGCGGTGCGGGGTTGAACACGGACTGTTGGCGTGCAATCCATAGACCCCAACATATCCCCATGATAACTCGTTGAAGTAGTTAGTATTATATACGCCATGTTTGGACAACACCCACAAAATCCCAAGGCTGTTTCCTTACATCCTGTTTAGTCTCAGAAAATCACATATTTCCCCATCACTTTTTCGATATTCTAAAAGATCCCAAGACATCCCCACTTTCTATATTCGTTGGTCAAACGTCCATGAATCCTGGTTGGTTTGGTCCCTATAAAAATCATGCTTGGTTTACATTCGATGGGAAATCAAAAGGGCACAGGAAACCTCGATTTTCCCAACGAATCCATTGATTCGGGCATATCATGTCATATCCCCAATTGGCAGCAACATTGATATTCCCGTAACATATCCCACAGGCCGTTAAATCCCCTGAATCCCAATCCATTCTCAATCCATTGATTCCCACAACACATCCCATAACATATCAATAAATAGGCAAAAAAATGGGTGATGTTCAATCGCTATCTTCGATTCCATCGGAAAATCCACCACATTTTTAGATGTTTTCCCAGCTATAAAGCTCCATTTTTTTCAGGGGAAAACCTCGATATATCGGGGGATTTTACCCAGGATGACATCCGAGCGGTTTGTCCAATCCATTGCTGGATCCATTCTCAATCCCATCAACTATCCCAGAACAGATCCCATTGTGGATATATGATCCCCATCATATCCCCATCAGATGCCCAGATTTTCCGCTTGAAAAACATACATGGCTGGTTGGTAAATCTCTGAAGAAAAAATGGGGATAGGGGGATCATCTATGGATTGGTATACTGAATAATAAAATGGAATATATGTTTTTTTTGGGACAATTACTGTAATAAATTGAATATATATAATTAAGAAGATATAGCTCCGAAGCATATCCCATCTGATATAATCAGAATATCTATAATTCATTATAATTCTATCTCCATAAAGATTGGGATCATGATACATATCCCACTGATATCTCCCCATTTTTCAAGCCCTCCATTTTTCACCGGCGCTTGGCTCGGCGCTTCCGTTAGGAGCTGCTACTGCTGGACGCGGCGGGACGTCCCCGGGCGAATCCTTGGGCATCGCCCAATGCCAGACCCTTCAAGACATGGGATGGCCGGCTGGCGTCACTGGGCGCAGGAAAGCTATGGAAAAAGATGGGAAAATCTGGAATTTGAGACCTGAGACCTGTTCGATATAAGTAAATGGATATAGGTGTGGAATTGTCGTGATATGTTGATGATGTTTTTGGATTAGTGGTATTATTTTCTTAAGGAACGACATGAAATGTGTACAATTAGGTAGTAGTAGCTATGTCGAAGCAATAATGGAACTTTATAACCAACAATTGTGTGCAATTGTTACATGAATGGGGTTGTATACGTGGTAACTAAGAAATGATGGCTCGCAGCTCGCTTGCAAAAGAAACCTTCACAACCATCTAAAGAGCCCTGCTGATTGAAGCTACAAAATCAGAAGAGATTGGATTTACCGTAGGGTAAAGATAGGAAACGATGTGGAAAACCAATGGTTTCCCCTTCGGAACATGTTCAAATCGTGGCTTCTCCACATCCTGCGGTCCTGCGATAGGTGAAAACCCCTATCCCTTCAGCTTGGGACTTGGGAGGTAGCTTGAAAATGCTTGAAACCAGGTGTTTCCCATGGATTGTGTCTCTCCATGACCAGCATCTTTTGAGTTCCAAATACATCCAAATACCATGACCAATCTGCAGATTAATCATGGTTGGGGGTATGATCCACATTGTTACGGCGATATCAGCATGATATCCCCAATTGTTGGACAATGTTGGAGAATTTCCCCATTTGGGCTTGTTATATATATCCCGTCCATTTACCCCAATCTTTTGGTTGGTTGAATGAAATCCCCATCAGTGCTCGTTTCAACTCGATTTACCATGCTTGGTTTCCCCATTTATTGGACGATGGGAAGAAGAACAAAGGAAACCTCCATATTTGAGGTACAAAAAGATGCTTAAACTTTAGATATTCCCTTATGGTTGGTTGAATCTCCATTTTTTGATGGCGAAAACCCGACCGTGTCCGTGTTGAATAAATCCGACCGTTTTTTGGTTTCAATACCCTCGTGAATCATGGGTGGAACATGTTTTGAACTCCGCAAAAAATCTGAAAAACAAGAGAGTCATATGCTCATTATTTTATTACAGTATAGTTTTGTTATGTTTTACATCTCATGATGAGTTATAGAACCCCTACCCATGGTATATATATATATGTATATATATATAAATTATAAACATATATAAACATAATAATCCCCCCTATATAACTCTACCAAGGATCAAAGCTCTGCATTTCAGGCACGGAGGCACGGCCCTGGATGCGTCGGAGGTGAAGCAGCACAGCCTTTGTGCATCGCTGCTGCGCCGCGCAGGGGGGCGCCACTCCATGCAACGCGCCCATGGCGGCAGCTGGGGAGGAGGGGGTGATGAATTCGTCGCCCGCCCCGTTTTTTTTGGTGTTCTTTCAGCGAAAAATCTATGAAGATCTGGACTTTTCACAGGATCAATAGGGGAGGGGGTTGGTTTTGTTGCAGCAAACATGTTAGATTTTGATCTATGAAAAGTGATGAAGACAGGCATTCGGCCAGAGATTATCATATGGAACATTTCTAGGGGATCAAACAAATGGTAACTGGAAAAAATCTGGAAAGTAAGGCAAGTAGGGCTTAAAATTGGTTTCATATTTTAACACGTGCATCAAAGCCATGTCTTTTTGGTGCTTGTTTTGGCGCCCCATTCGAAACTCAGCAAATAAGAATTTGTTCAAATGTGTGGTTGCAACTTCTATTTTTTCTAGCTACAGGAATTGGGGACACACGATTCTATGAAAATTGACATACCACCAGTCAACCTGCGGGCAATAAAGGACGATTGTGATACCGTCTAGCAAACAGACATGGCCACTGACTACCCTCTCAGTTATAAAATTTTGTGGCTGCTTTCTCTGCGGAACATTACAAGATGCAAAGTGCCATAAAATGCAATGGTTTGTCGAATTCCACAGTGTTTGTTTGGAAACTGCGGCTATTCATAGCATGGACCATGATGTTTATTGATGTTTCCCCAACTTTTGCATGGGCATGGATAGTCTTGCAAAGACAACAAACACAGGGAGATCAACAAAATGAAACATTACAACTTTGGGTTTCCATGGTTGTATCCTTGACATAACAGTTCAAAGTGATATAACAAGAACAGGGCTCTTCAACCGACCACAATGGGGATTTTATGATCTCCGTGGGTACAGTAACAAATTAGCCTCTGATTTAGCAAGGCAAATGGAAATCCCTGAAAAACATAGGGCTTCAAAAATAGGACAATCATGGACAACCATGGGGGATATGTCTATTGCCAGATTCGATCATGAGAGGTGACGTTACCAGAATTGCTCTGTATATCCCATTAGGACCCGATTCTTAGGTAAATATCCCCATCTTATGTGCTTGACCTATGTGATGTCCTTGCTATTGATCCGCAATTTCCTGACTTATTCCATTCATTTCTTTTTTTCAGCCAAGAAATTGCGAGGAAACAAACAAGCAAAGCTCATTGACATGTTTGTTAAGGCTTAAAGGCTTATTTTGAATCATATTTTTCTGCATTTTCCTGCCATGTGTCAACCCACATGTCCCAATCTGGGTTGAATCCTTTGGTTTGTCAGGATTTTCCCATATTTTCCCATAATTCACTGGTCAGTTTTTAGGGATTCCCATGTTTTCACAGCCATCTCAGAGCTTCGTGCGTTTTTAGGTGCCGCAGAACTGGCGCTACCCGAGATGTTGCAGCAATGGTTGCTGGAGGGCGCAGATGTCGAGGTGCCGTTTCTGATGATTTGAATAGGATTTCAATCCCTGATCACCCAGATTGATTATATATTATATATATGATTATTAATAAATTATAATCTGATAAAGATTGATATAGTGATGTTTTTTGTTTTTTTCTGAATCTTAATTTCTGAGGGATTGATTTAAGATTAATTAAGATTGGTTATTGAAGATGGACTATATTTTGGATGTGCAACATCTTTGATTTTGGACGGATATTTCGAGTTGGGTGGTGGAACGGCGGATGCTTTCGAGTGGAAGCTTTTGCCCTTCAATTGAAAGAAGGTCAAAAGAAAGCCGTTTTGACCTGTGATGGGAGATGTACAAGCAATCAGCATGTTCCTTTGAACTTTAAACTCTTTGTAGATTCGATTGAGTAGATTCCACATGTTGATGGTTTGGTAATGTTATTTGTACCCTCCGGTAATCAAACGTGGCTATGGACAATTCATTCCCCATTTGTACATGATTTTCCCATGGACAAACCTCCATGTATAGGGGATTTCCCAGCCAGCCATGTTTGCTTCCTGAAGGGTAAGTTTTGATTGAACATAGTGACATAGAAACTCACCATTTTTGATAAGCAAATTATCACACTATGTAAATGGTCCATGGCTTCCATAATCCCCCATAATCCTGCATCTTCCATAGCTATGAGACGATTTTCTCATGAACAAACCTCCAAGTATGGATGATTTTCCCATGACCTACAATCATCGAGGATTTTCCCATGAACAAACCTACAATGACAATATCCTACAATCATAGATGATTTGCCATGTTTTTCCCCGCTTTGTCCCATGATTTTCAGGAGAGGGACAGCAGTGGCGCGACGCCCCTCTGGTTGGCTGCCAAGGGGACCAAATGCCCGGCCAGCGAGCTGCAGAGCGACTTGGCCGCGGAACCAGCTGGAGAAGTACCTGACCCTTCCCCTAGAAGCCAAAATAAATTTGGAAAATCCATGAAAATCCATGGTTTCCCGAAAGTCTAGACATGATAAGTAAACTCCACATCGAACTGTAAACGTTTACGGGACGGTATGTCGGTATGTCAAGGGATGAATTTGAATTAATTCTACGGATCCGCGAATTGTGGGGGATGCTTCAAACATGTTCAAAACAATTGAAGACCCATTAAAAGACACCCATCAAAAACCCAGGAAAAGAAACAAATCATTGACTATCAATTATCATCATAGGTGTTGAACATCACCATTATCGCCCTTCTGAATCATTGGTATTTCTCACCACCAATCATTTGTGCTGCAAAAAAAACAGGATTTGACCTGCCCAGGAAGCGAATGCATTGAGCTCTTGCTTGCGGCCAGGGCCACCGTCGACGCTTTGCCAATCACACAGGACCGGTTTTCGGGGTGGTTTTCGGGGTCAAGCAGGTGACCCACAAGTGATTGGGAATACCAAGAAACTTTTGTAGTATATATTTAATGGTTAATAGTGGTTAATAATGGTTGATAATGGTTAATGAGATATACTGGTTGGTGGTTTCAAACATGGCTTTTATTTTCCATAGTATATGGATGTATATGGGATAATCCTTCCCATTGACTCATATGTTTCAAGATGGTGAAAACCACCAACCAGTATATATAAGTATAAGTATATAAGATTATATAAGTATTATACACAAACAAATTTGATTTTTTGAAACAACAGGAATGGAAAAGTCGGCCCGAAACGGTTTGATTCTTTTGCCCCTGAGTCGCATGTTTTGCGATTCGTATGGTTCTATCATGTTCTATCCACAGAGAATAGGACCTCCCCGTCAATGTCAACGGATTTTGCACGCACGACCAGCGGCTGTGACTGCGAGGAAGGAGTACATACTTTTCTTTCTGGTTGGTGGTTTGGAACATTTTTTCTTTTTCCATATACTGGGAATGTCATCATCCCAACTGACGAACTCCATCATTTTTTCAGAGGGGTAGGTATACCACCAACTAGTTCTCATCATTTTCCACCAGAAATCCGCCATTTTTATCCATCCCAGTCAGGACATGCGTAAAATCCGAGGCCTTTACTAAGTGATCTCCTAACTTCAATGGGAATTTCAGGATCATATAGGCCTTATATATATATAATATAGTAGGTACCTCCAATCAACCGGTTCCTGAAATGGCCATTGATAACTGATCTTAGAATCTGATGAAATCCCGGCGATTTGATCAGGAGACACCGTTAATGGTGGCGGCGCAGCGGGGCTCTGTGGCGCACTGCCAGCTTTTGCTGCAGGCAATGGGTCAGCGTCATTTTCGCTGCAACTTTCGGTAGAAGTTGGCTGAAAAAAAATTGGGTTCAATCCCTTAAACCATCTTAACCCTTATTTTCAGTTGGATTGTTGGTTGCCGTGACGCACCTCGTCGTCACATAGTTCAACCATGTTCAACCCTACAAAAAGGTTGGCCGTAACAAACCTCTGGTTTCATCAAACATGGCACCGGAAAATGTCCATGTGTATGGGAAAATGCACGAACAAAGCTTGTTCAAAATCGTGATTTTCCAGCCTTGTTTGATTGCCCGAGGGTAAATCTGCCCATCGTACGTGGTTGATCCATTACTTGGATGTGCATCCCACTTACGAAGTGCTCTGCAAGATGTTATAATATGTTACAAGTGTATTACTGTACAATATATTATCATCACCCTGTCAACCATGGAATATCCCAAAAATCTTGAAAGCCAAAGATAGAAGAGTCACACGCCCTAGAGCGAAAAACAATGATGAATCACTGAATCATCAATCTTTTTTTGGGGGGTTACGAAAAATCTATCCGCGTTACTCTCTAGTAAACTAAGATGTTTACTAACATAACTATGGAAAACCCACCATTTTGTGTGGGTAAATCATGGTAAATCAAGGAACTAAATGGCCATGTTCAATAGCTTTTTGTATGTTTACCAGAGGCTATGGCTTGTTGGTTACCCTGCGAAACGGCCAGGCGCAGGCCGATGTGCTGCACCAGGACCGCCGCGGAAAGCGGGTGGTGCAGCACGCTGTTCACAGCGCAGCGCGACAGCTGTTGCAACGAGCCGCCCTGCAAGGTGGGGATTAGTGATACTGTATATTACCCTCTGGTTATTTAACATAGCCATGGAAAATCCCCAAAATAAATGGAGGTTTCTAGCTGGGAAAATCATCTATTTCTATGGGCCATCTATACCATGGCTATGTTAGTCATAACTAGAGGACATTAGTGGTGATGAATGCTATGAATGGTGATTAGTCAGACCAGGTCAGACCCATCAATTTTTTTTCCGTGGTTTTTGTTGATTTTTCCGAGAGGAATATGGACGAAATCTATGGTTTCATGGGAATATTCGCGGGACAATTTAGTTGATATGATATGATATTTAGGATTGGGATTGGGTTTTCTGGAGGTGGTTTCTTCGTTGGGACCAGGTCAGTATTGAAACAAACGAAGTAAATTTGATTTAACCAGCATTGGAGCTGAACCAACTAGTGAAGGGCCGTGTTTCATAGTTGTATAAAGTTGTGTCTAGAGGGAGACTTGAAAACTTCATAACGGTATCATCGGGTGTTTTTTGTTCATGGCAATGCTGCACTACTGTTTTTTTGCCATGGCGAGTGGTGTGGATTTGGCCCGGCCAGGTGAGGCGAATTTGGCTGGACCTGAAGGGTTCGACGGCCGGGGAACCCGAGGACGCTCGGGAGATTTTTTGGCCGAAGTAACTCAGGATGAAAAAGGGAGATACCCTCTGGTTATGACTAACATAGCACAATGGCCCATAAAAAAATATAAAAATAGATTTAGCTAGCTATAAAATGGGTGGATCTTTCCATGGCAAACTGTGAATGTCATAACCAGATGGTATCATGAGAGATCCCTCAACTTAGGGGGATTTGACGAAGCATCCACTTTTTTTTGGATGTTTCATGGAGAAAAAAATATGGAACATATGCCATGCAAACATGGCAGACATGGCAGCTACGAAATCTACTGGCAGGTTAGGGAGAGGTATTCCGGTATCCCTGAGGCACTCTGTTCAAAGGACCATTCCAAAGGAGGATAGGTTGTCAATCCTTCTGGAACCATCTCTGCGGGGAATGACATTTCACCAGTTATCTTGTTGTATTCATCAGTGCCATGGTTTTGATCCATAGCCATGACCTCTGAGCTTACAGACTCATGGAATCTCATGTCTTTTCCGGTTGGCGATCTCAACTATATATATATATTATAATTTATGTTATCTGCTTGGTGGTTTGGAACATGGCTTTCATTTTTCCTTATTTTTTCCATATATTGGGCATTTCATCATCCCAACTGACGAACTCCATCATTTTTCAGAGGGGTTGAAACCACCAGGTCGCGGGCGCGTCAGGCGCCTGGCGTTTTTATAGCGTTTCTGCACCAAAACGTCTCTTTTCAACTCTTTTAGCAGTTGTTGGCGTCGATGTTTTTCACCAACTTTGCCAGCTCTTTCAGCATGACCAGTGGTGTACAAGTTTGGAGATTACATCTCCACACATATTGGAAACAACGACGTCGCAGAGATGGATTCACCTCTGACCCCACCAAAGTCTTCACTTTTCTGTAGCGTAGCATCACACGTGCAGTTGCCTCACGTAAAATTGAAGAGAACGTGCAGTAGCGTAGCATCACGTAGTTGTGTAAATTGAAGAGAACGTGCAGTAGCGTAGCATGACGTAGTTGTGTAAATTGAAGAGAACGTGCAGTAGCGTAGCATCACGTAGTTGTGTAAATTGAAGAGAACGTGCAGTAGCGTAGCATCACGTAGTTGTGTAAATTGAAGAGAATGTGCAGTAGCGTAGCATCACGTATTTGTGTAAATTGAAGAGAACGTGCAGTAGCGTAGCATCACGTAGTTGTGTAAATTGAAGAGAACGTGCAGTAGCGTAGCATCACGTAGTTGTGTAAATTGAAGAGAATGTGCAGTAGCGTAGCATCACGTATTTGTGTAAATTGAAGAGAACGTGCAGTAGCGTAGCATCACGTAGTTGTGTAAATTGAAGAGAACGTGCAGTAGCGTAGCATCACGTAGTTGTGTAAATTGAAGAGAATGTGCAGTAGCGTAGCATCACGTATTTGTGTAAATTGATTTAACGTGCAGTAGCGTAGCATCACGTAGTTGTGTAAATTGAAGAGAACGTGCAGTAGCGTATCATCACGTAGTTGTGTAAATTGAAGAGAACGTGCAGTAGCGTAGCATCACAAGTCCAATGAACGTTAACATCCCCCCCCACCCACCCACCCACCCCCCCCACCCCCCAACGAACCCATTTATCACAGAAAACACGCGAAATTACCAGGCGCCTGGTGCGCCCGCTGGCAACCACCAACCAGATAATTTATGTTATAGTTATATATTCATTTCCCAACATGAATATTCATGGAATCAACGGTATGATCTTCTTACCTGACTCAATTACTTGGGGGTTGCGCTTGGTGAGCCCAGGCCCCGTGCTCAGCCCAGCGCCCATGGTGCCCATGATGCAGGGCCAAGAAGGTGGGAGTTTCCATTGCCATGGGGGTACCCCAATAGCTGGATGATTTACAAGGGAAATCCTATTAAAATGGATGATTCAGGGGTACCCCCACTTTCAGAAATCTCCATTTGATGGCTTAACCTCGGGGAAACGAACACTTTGCGAACTGGACAATCACCATTTTGAATAAATAACGAAGGAAAATGCTATGTTTAAACTGTTATATAGTTATTACCATAGGGTACAGATGGTACAGTTTTTTCTCCAAAGAGTATGTCCACACTAAGTGCTTCCAATATCTTCTAATGGTAACGTTGGCAGATGCGGGTTGAAATCAGACTTAGAAAGGTGCCGCGGGATGTCATTTTTCGGGGCAGGCACAGTATTTGGTGAACGATATTTTGACAGGCTCAAGACACTGGTTTTGTGAGACTGTCATCACGTTTGGGTTTCATAACTGGCATACCTGGTGATAATTTTGTTTGGCAGGTGCGATACTTTGGATGCCTCAGGTTCAGTTTTCGTGGCAAGACTAAGACTGTAGAGACCTCGACAAAAAAGCATTTAAAACCTAGTAGGTGAAGCATTGTTTCTTACATTTTCAACTTTCATGTCTCGTGGTGTCGCGCAACATGGTGAAATTCAATCATGCGCTCGTGCAACCCTCTCGTCACTTTGTGAGAGTCGCATGGCTCTCGTTGTGGAGGTGTGCTCATGTTTGATTCACGGACGGAGATGTTGGGATAATTCTAGATCCTATAAAGTTGGCTTTCAAAGATCCTTGTAGGGAAATCCTGTGAGTTCCCCTAATGAATCCTTGTGCAAAGATCTTGTGAGTTCCTAGATCTGGTCGTAAAGGGATCCTGTGAGTTTCTGATGATCTTTGTGTAGAGATCCTGTGAATTCCTTTGGTCTTGTGATGTCTCGTGCAAAGAGATCTTTTTAGTTCCTTCAAGGGACCCTTGTACACAGATTTTGTGAACTCGTTGCAAAGATCCTTTGTACGGACATGCGGTAAGTTCCCCCAGAGGATCCTTGTATAGAGATCTCGTGAATCCCCTAAGCGGGATCCTGGTACGTGAGTCCGTTTCAAGGATTGTAAAGAGTCCTTGTACAGAGATCCTGTGAGTCCTGTCCGTTTAAACATGAGATCGGACCAAGTTTCTATAGTAACCCCATTTACTTCCCCCACACTGTTTGAGTCCCTTGCATGAGTATATATAATATATGATATGTATATATAGATATAATACATATATATATATACATATGTTGCTTTGCATAATGGCGTTTAATTTAGTTGCATCAGACCCTTTCCATCATCAGGCGGAGTCACTAAGGGAGTTACATGTTTGGCCTCCTGGTGTTGCGCTTTCACAACAGCAGGATCCACCAGTCTCCATTATATTTTTTTGGAGGAATGCGCCTTGTCCTGCCGCAAAGAAAAAACAGTGTGTTTGGTTTCGACGAGAAATTGCGCAAGGATGATATGTATATATATACGTATATATATATAATTACAAATATAACTATATATTTTTATAGTTATATAGCATTACATATATATATAGCATTACATATATATATATACAATTATACAAAATTTTGTACAACGGTATATATATATATAAACTTATGCATATTAATTCATATCCAACCCCCAAGCGGGTTATTTCAAAGCTTTTGCGTACCCCAAAATCTCCTGCTTAGAGAAATGTGATCTCCATTATTTTATGTCCATAAACTGGTGTATTCACCATTCTGAACAAACCCATATCGATAAATTGATATTGTTGGTGACATGAATCAATTTCATCATATCCCCATGAAAATCATGGTTTCAGAGCGTATACTTGTCTTGTTTTAATTACTTAAATTCATCGTTCTTGCAGAAAACTGGCCAAACTGGTGCTACTCTCGTTGTCGCAAGGGATTGAGTGATAGATGTGATGATGATGATGCAAACTCCGGTTGAAAGCCTGGTTTTGGACCCAAACATATACCAAATTATCCCATCATCAAATCCCAGCAGAGGACGATATCCTTTTCTCCATTATATATCCAGAAATGAGGATATTGCCTTTCAAGTTTCTTACTGGTGCTAAACATAGGGAATGGGGAATGAGCCATAATCACTAACAATCATCCCATTCCCCTGTTTCCCATTCTTTCCATTGTGAATAGTGATTGTTATATGTATATATATATAATATTATATTCTATTATATTTTATTATCTTCTATTATATTTTATTATATTCTATGATATTTTATTATATTTTATTATATTATATTATACAAAATATAGTATAATATAATATAATAAAATAAAATATAATCTTTAAAATATAATATAATATACTATGATACAATATAATTTAATATAATGAACTATAATATAATATAGTATAATACAATACAATATAATATATAATATAATATAATATGATACAATATATAATATATAAAAATGTATTATAATGTAATTCAATATAGTATGATACAATATATAATACAATATAATAAAATATATAATTTAACATGATACAATGTATAATGTAATTTAATATGATACAATATAATATAATCTAATATGATATACAATATAATATAATCTAATATGATATACACTATACAATCTAATATAATGTACAATAGACAATATATAATATGATATATAATATATCATATGTACTATGATATATAATATATAATATTTATTAATAATACAATATAATATTTTATAATATGATATTATATAATATTATATATTATGATATTAATATAATATAGTATAATATATTTAATGTAATATAATATACTGTAATATAGTTCATATCACTTTCTGATGATTCACCCAAAGATTTGATTGCTAAACATGTACTTTCCAGGCCGCAGTTGCCGATCCTTTGAGACTTGGAATGTGCAGCCGCAGGAAACCTGGCCCGCAGCGGCTTGGAATCTGCTGAAAACGGGGCAAGTTGGACCGAAGCCGGGGTCATTTTGTTCTTGTTTTCTTTCATTTTTTCAAATAGACTTTCTGAAACCATCTGATGATCTTTTCCACACGTCTTGTTGGGAAACATTCTCAAACCATGGTGCCTTTCATATTTCTCTGGAATCAAACATTAGTAAGTATCGCTCAGTTTATATAAGTATAACCAAATGACGTACCACGCTTGTAAATACTATATACACACAAGACTGGGTGTATACAACTCACAACAATGGGAATCAATAGGCACGTAATCCTTAACACCAGTGCGACATGCTTTGGGAATCTGCTGATGGATCGCTTTTCAGCACGCAGCTGAAAATCCAAAATTTTGGCATTGTTTGCGTGCTTGATCTTGTTCCACGTTTGTGTTAAACGAGATGGCCGAGGTCTAAGGTAGGTGTAGCACTAAGAAACATTGTCAAACATGGTCCACCAGTGGGTTTTTGATATTGCATGCCCGTTTCCTCTATCCGGGATTGTGATCACAATTGGTTCAAACAATTATTCTGAGTAATATTAGTAAAGCAATCATAAACCACCCATATAAATTGATGGTTTACACGAGTTTGTACCACCCATAAAAATTGTGATTTTGGGGATGGTGTACTATTGCTTTAATAACATTAGACCAAATGAGATGGTTCTTCGCATTTCACCACATCTTCACTAGTCTGACTTCCTATAGAACGGGTCTCAAGGTGCCTAAACCAACTGCCATGCAGCCGTAGGTTTGATGGCAAATCAGAACAACATGTCAACGATTCATTGAAGATCATTAAATGATATTAAGTGTGTTAGTTTCCCAAATGCTTGGCACAAGCACTGCGAGTAGGGCAGCCTTTTTCATGAGAAGACCGTGCATTTCCCATTTTGTTGGAGCGTTGTATCTCCAACATTTGCTGAGAATTATGAGTTGAAGTTCCTGGACTCAGAATAACAGAAATAGAAGTAGAATGAAGTAGATAAAACATGATAAAAACAAGGCAACAACGAGAGATGATGCGGTGCCTGAAAGCATGTTTTTTTTGGTGCTGGAAGAGAAATCCATCAAAGTACTAGGCCACGGCCGGTCATGCCGCATTGATTTGCCTGGGAATGGACGAACATCCCCAACACATTTTTGAAATGAGGTGTTGCAGCAATAGAATTGCCAAACTTAGATGACAAAAATATCCACACATTCAATTTTCCAATGTCCCAAATTGAAAATTGGATACAGTTGACCTGAATTTGCACCCAAATCGGATGCTTTGTCAAATCGTGAGTTGTTTTTTGTGGCCATAACTTGGGGTATTCCCGACTTCAGACAGACCCTTTATCAACCCATGTTGAATTTCGACACATTAATCACGAAAGCTAGCGTCAGCTAGCTGGAGTCTTCTTGCTTTAGCAAGTATTGGGGGGGCTGCTCAAGGACATCACGTGATTTTTCACGCGAAAGGGGGGCCCCCCCCCCTCCCCCACCACCACCACCATCACCACCATCACCACCATCACCATCATCATCATCATCATCATCATCGTCATCATCATCGTCATCATCATCGTCATCGTCATCGTCCTCTCCCTCGTCCTCGTCCTCGTCATCATCATCATCCTCGTCATCATCATCATCATCATCATCATCATTCATCATTCATCATTCATCATTCATCATTCATCATTCATCATTCATCATCATCATCATTCATTCATTCATTCATTCATCATTCATCATCATCATCATCATCATCATCATCATCATCATCGTTATTCAATTACATTTTATCATTATTGGCAATTATTGTCATTATCACGAAAGCTAGCGTCAGCTCGCTAGAGTCTTCTTGCTTTAGCACGTATTCCGGGGCTCCCCAAGGACATCACGTGATTTTTCCCGCGAAAGGGCCCCCCCCTGCCCCCTCCCCCATATATATCATTGTTATATATCATATATCAATATATCATTGTTGCATCCTCGTTGGGACGAACAATGCCGCGACACGATGATGACAGTCCTTCCGCAACTCACCTCTTCCCTTCCTTCTTTCTCCTACCCCGCTAGCTTTCGTCATCCACCCCCGGCCTCAAGTATAGATACCCTCTGGTTATTTAACATAGCCATGGAAAATGGCCCATTTATAGGTGTTTTTCCCATTAAAACCTCCATTTATAAGGGGTTTTCCATGGCTATGTTAAATAACCAGATGGTATATACTTTATTATGAATGCATGTGTGATTCACAGACACATGCACATATTCTCGCACAGATTCATACGTACATATATCTATACATTTCATTTATTCACGCATATACTCATACGTGTATGCATAAAAAAAATCAGACATATTTTCAAATCCTTCAACCTATCTTCATAGGATGCAGGAATACAATCTATCGATCTATCGATCTATCGATCTATCGATCTATCGATCTATTGATCTATCTATCTATCTATCTGTCTGTCTATCTATCTATCTATCTATCTCTCTCTCTCTCTATCTCTACCTATCTATCTATCTACCTATCACCTTCTAGAAGAATATGTACTCATCCTTTTATTGGTCACATTGCTTTCGGAAGCAGAGCCTGCGCGACATGAATTCAGTGACGTGTGTGGTCTTCCAGCGTCAACCACCTAAAAATCTGGACACAGCTCAGAAAAAATTCAAACCAAGAAAACATCCCTTCACAACTGTGATTTTGCTGTTTCTATAGCAGTTCTGCACGGTTGCTGCATGCTGACACACAATGTTGAACAGGGAGGAAGCTGTCCAAGTTTGATCTTGCAGCTGGGGCGTGCAGAGCGTCCTGGGGCTGATTTGGCTTGCTTCGGCCAGAAAGAAGGAACAGTCGTCCAAGCGGAATGGGCACTTAGGGTAACGTAAGCCAAAGTGGGACTTTCGAACCAACGCTTCAGCAGTTGATTGCAACTCAAACAAGCAATCAATTGGACAGACTTGGTACTGACTTGTCCAAATGGGGCTGAAATGCCGCGATGGACCTGCTCACGGCAAGTATAGTTGGAAGCGTTCTCACAAGAGAACGATTTCATTTCCATTGGCCAAAAGTCGGAAAGAACAGAAACATTACCAAGGTTTTTGTTCATGTTTTTCGTGATGTCGAGATCCAAGACTTTGGGATCCAACTCCATACAAACATTCTCGCTCAAGCATTGGTCGCGGCTCCTGGTGGGATACTGAAATTCTGACGGTTGCATCACGCATGCTATTGGTGACGAACCATTTTTGCAACAAAATGCCCATTCTCAAGCGCTCACATGTTCTCGTCCATCGCACTGTTGGCTGCCAAGGTGGATTGGCGCTCCGCGGCCCCTTGTGGCTATGGTGGCGTCTACGCGCCCGCGGCACCGGGTGCTGTGACCTATGCGAACGCGTGGGGATCGCAGCACCCGTGGCCGGCACCGGAGAACTGGTGGCGGTGAGATGCATGGCAAAAAGGGTTCAGTGGGATTAACCATCATCAAAGTATGTATTTGTAGAAATAATTAGTGATATATTCAAAATATAAAAGGGATCTAATGGGAACACATCAGGTGATAATGGTGGCAGATCCCACGTTATGAATAGGGGGGCACCAATAGTAATCGTAATTTATCGCTGTTTTGCGGATAACCCCTGGATAAATAATCAGGGTCTATATATCTGGGGCTGACATTATTAGTAAATGTTTCAACCGAACATTTTAACCATCAAACGGGGTAGTATGGGGTGTTTAATCATGTTTTTTTCACACGATTTAACCCATCATCAAATGGGGTTATCACGGTAGAAACATGATGATAGAACCAGCAACAAGGAAGGGAACACAGTTTTTGTCACCAAAATCGGGGTAATTATATCACTGGCCGAGGCCATTAGGAGCGGGGACCCATTCAGGTTGTAACTTAGGAATTAGCGTGAGCTAAGCCGAGTACTTGTGGTTTGATTGAGCGGCTGTTGGGAATGTTCTTCTTGAGGGGGATAAATTTGATGTTGAGCGGACACTCTTCAAGTCGTCGTGGGGTGCACATTAGATGAAACCTGCTCGCTGCTTCAGGGGAACTCTGGGGAAATGTGGAAAATTCATCGGGTTTCAACGAATTTTTTGTAAACCCAATTCAATAAGCATCCCCAAAATCACCATTCTGTTTTGGGGGTTTCAACCATCCCCAAATGGTAGTTGTTTATGGCATTGGTTTTCCCGCATTATGGAAATATGATGAAATATGTGTTTTGCATGGCGTTTGGTCATGTTTGGTCCATTTCCTCAGGACCGGCATGCCAACTATGTCCACAAGTCGACCTTGGTGTACCGGTGACGGATGGTCCAGTTTCACTTCTGACTTTGTTTTTCGTTGTGTGTAAGTGCCCACTCGAAACTTAGGACCAGAAATCGGGGTATATCAACTACAAAACCGAGTTTAGCCCAGTGATAAACCAACTTACCTAGTTTTCTTTGGTCAGAACTGTTTGTCATGGAATGGACCGCACATGCCGATTTTCTACAGATGAGTTCACATGAAAAGTGGCTCAAAGCGGCCGGATTGCTCAGGGCATCACTTAAAGTGATGCCGCCAGCGTGCACACCTTGTGGTCGTTTGGCTGCATGGTTGTACGCTTTCCACTCACAAGATCTTTCGGGCGACATGGGCCACTGGTGTAGCAACAATATCCTTCCAAGGGTACTATATGTTGAAATAGTTATTTTAATATAGGATGTAGGGGGAAACTACTGGTAACCATCCACCTGGGTTCGGGAGTATCCCCAAATTTGAAACAAAAGCCCCAGAGATTCTGAGAAAAACCAGCAGTATGGTCAAGGTGGCCCACGTAGACTGTAGACGTTTTAGCAGGGTTGCAATGCCGCAAGGAATGCCAAATAGTCAACCAAGCTGCTGTGCAGAAATTCGCCATCTCTGAGTTCTGATTCAAGTGGGATGGTTGCACCATGATGAAGCCGATATTAGTAACATGCTCAGTCATGATGCCAGTCATGGTTCGCTGGTTCACTGGAAGTCCAGTTCTATTGTCTTGTCCTTTCAAAAACTATGGTTGTTTCCATTGTTTTTTGTGTGCCAGGGATGCTCAACAGTCATAAATAGTTGCTGAAACATTTAATTGTCCAATCTTTAACCTTAAATTTTTAACTTCCATTGAATAGTATTGAATTGCCGGGAAAACCGCAGATGTCCTGAGAATTTTGGAGAATCTGCAGCTAAATCAATGGCGTCACAAATGAACAAATGAACTGGTTACTTTTGAAAGTCAGCAATTTGATGATCATAGATTCTAGATCATGAGTCAGTAGGATGGCAAACCATTATCTGTATGCATTTGATGGCCATCTATAGATCATGAGTCAGGTTTGGACTTTATCATAGATGATCCAGATGCAAATAGGGGGACAAGCAACAAAATGAATGATGAGGATTTGACACGATTTTTGCATGTTTGTCAAAAACAAGTTGATTTTCTCATTTCTGGGTCAGATAATCGGCAGACCCGGTAGACAAATTAGATAATAGGCTGTTTCGGCCTCTCTCCTGTACTTCAACAAGATCGATCAGGATTTTCAGGTTTGAACGGCGAGGTTTCTCATAGCTGAAAACACCAGGTACTACCTGTCCAACCTTGGATTTCGATGGCATACAGCATACATTTTCTGCAAACACCCACGAGTTTTGAGCAGCCCCACAACAATTCGTGGGACATTCCGCAGTTCGGACAGAGAATCGCCGGGAATGTCGATCTGGCAGCGGCAGTTTTTTTTGGTCTGAAAATGGGGTACCCCGAAGTTCTTCTTGCAACTGTGTTTTGTGCAAATTCCAAGACTGGCGGAATATCTGACAGCGGCGAACTACATGATTCACTCCGAACTACATACTTAATAAATCTTAATAAGGCAAATCCACAATAAACCATCCACATGTTTCCCGATTTTACCATTTGAGGGGGATGATGGGTTTACCGTTTTTTGGGGGTCCCCAGTGTTCCTTATATTTCCTGCATAAATTCCAGGTTTTGAACTTTCTATCTATTTGGGGGTTGCTACACTCTGATGATTTAAGCTTGCTATGGAACATCACCATTCTTAATAAGTAAGTAAACATCATCAAACGAAACGGCAATGTTTTTCATAGCGGTGGAAAATTACCAGACAGAATATGAGAGAATACCACATTTCAAGACACTGGTAATTTCAAAAACTGGGTAAATTATAACGACCTCAGTGCGACCTCACTGGAATAATGGTTAGTAATTAAGGGGAATTATCCCCAAATGGTCTTGTTTCAGTCTAATTATTCAAAATTACCAAGAATAAGCTACAATAAACTGTGGTAAACCATAGCAGATGTTCATTTTTTGGGTCACACCGAGATACTGGAGATGTCAGATATCATCATGACGGGGAAAAGGGTCGCTTGGAGCTTTAATTTTATGGAGCATTTAACCAACCACAATGGGGATATAGTGGGGATTTCTTGGGGTAATAGCTGAAATGATATCTGTGCTTTTTCTGGAAACAAGGGATTAATATATATATATATATACATAGATATATCTACCCATTTTAACAGGGAGATGGCGATTCATCAATGGATGAAATGATATACTGTAGTTTTTTTTTACCCAGTATTTTAGGTACCATATCCCTTGTTGCCCTCATTTTCGGATGGTTAAATAATGTCAAGTAAAGCAAATGGCCATTGGTCAATGTTGAGCCAAAGATGACAATTCTGAAGCAGCTGTTGTAGATGAACAACTGACACGCTTGGTCGTGAACGCATCAGTTCGGGGTATGAACTTGGGGTATGAAGATGATCCGTACAGTGATCGTCATGAAAGTACAAGATCGGCAAGTTATATACCAATCTCTAGATGTTTTTCCCATTCAACACCTATTTTGCTCTGGGATTTCCCAATCATTTTGGATGGTCTTATCAGGATGTCGTCAAAGAAAACAAACCGCAAATCAAATTTTATGTCAAGCTGTCAATTTTTCTTTGCAATTTTCAACGGGGACTTGATTAAGCACCTTTTGTGCTGCCAGTTCTGCCCTCTCCTCCTTGCTGCTGACGGCCCAACATCCTGCACAAGGATGAAACACCTGCAGAGATCCGGAAAAAGAACGCCGAAACTGTGTGGATCGGAGGTTTCCTAAAATAGGGGTACCCCTAGATCATCCATTTTAATGGGATTTTCCATTATAAACCCTCCATTTTGGGTATCCCTATTTATGGAACCCCCCTTTTTTACAACAGGTGTCCCATTGAGATGGTGAAGGGGTAAATTATAACGACCTCACTGCGACCGAGCCCTGGAATCATGGTTTTCATAAGGGAATCATCCCAAAATGGTCTTATTTCAGGTTAGTGAAATACGTATGTTTAAATGGATTGGATTTCAGGTGAGTGAAATACGTAGGTTTAAATGGATTGGATTCCGTATGTTTAAATAGCCGGGCGGGCCAAGGAAAAACCTTCCCGGAGGTAGTCTAAAATACCTGTTCGTATATTTAAAAGTCCGTACATTATGTATACTTAAATGTAGTTCTGGTATTGATCATATTGCAAAATTTACCCAGATATTTAAGGGATAATGACTTCCTGCAATGAGATAGCCATTTCAAGTGACCACACCGGACCTGGGATTTCTAGGTACTCCCTGGATGACGGAGGCCATGATTTATTAGCTATGTTGGATTAACAGAGGACCGAGGATACAGTCATTACCCTCTGGTAATGACTAACAGTTTGCGACATAGGAAATGGCCATAGAAATAGTTGATTTTCCCAGCTATAAAATGGTGATTTCCCATAGTTATGTAAACATTTACCGGAGGGTACTTAGAATATCTAGATGCTTTGCTTACACTACCTAGGAAATAGGTGGAAAAAAGTTAAATGATATACATAATGATTTTTTTGTTTGGCCTGGTCGAGAATATTCTGGGTACTTCACTTCAAGTGTAAATGTCACCTTGAATCCCTGGAGAATCCCTTGGATTCTTTTTTTGGGGGCCATCGTCGGAATCGTTCGAATTTCTGGGAGAATCATAATATGACATATGACAATTAATATCAATTCATACTGTTAGCAATAGTAAATCTTCCCAAATTTACCAGTTTTCATGGGTTTGAACCATCAAAATATGCTGTGGTTAGTCTTGTTGCTTGACTAATAAGACTTCAGATTTTTCCTGGTTCAAGTTCAATCCCAAGTTTGATGGTTACCCTCCTGCAAACTAATGGCTCTCCATCCAGGTCCTTCGCCCCGCTTACACGGTGATGGCCGTGGACCTCAGGGGAATGGACGGGACCCCTTTTTTCAGCAGCAAAAAAGGGGTTTGTCATCCGGGAATCAGAGGTGGCAATGGGAAAATGGCCCATTTCTGGATGATTTGCCCAGCGAACTAAACCTCCAGAGATTTTGCATGGCCAGG